GGATTGTGCCCAGGGCAGCTGCGGCGCTGCCTGCCAAGCAGGCATTATCCAACTTGGGAGACAGCACTGGTTTCGAATTCCGATGGGATCTGAAATAGGCTTTGAAGCTTCCTGTGAACACGTCATGATCTGCAGTCCTCGGGTATCGGACTGCGCAAGTCGCTGATGGCACCCAAGGCCTCAAATCAATGCCAGTCCTGAAGGTGGCTGGATAAGTGGAATGAGATGCTGGGCCCACTGCTGGCGCTGGTCTCGGCACCGCTGGCTTCTGCACAACGCCTCACAGCATGCGAGATCCCGAATGCCAAACGTGGGAGCTGGAACCCTGGTCCCAATCCAGAAGCTATTCCTGCCGAAAACCCTCCGTGGGATTTGGTTGAATAGCAATCCGCACTCGTGCGACTATCATTTCTCAATTTCCTGTCGGTATCACTGATCTGCCTTAACGAGGCCCCAAGCAAAAGTAAGCCCAGCATGATCCCATGAGTGCTCACGCCACCCGCCACACCTGAAATGCCCGAAATCCAAGCTTGTCACCTCAAAAGGTTAAGTTTAGGGCCCCACTGCTTCCTTTCTGCCGGGCCCAGAGCCTGCAGTAAGTCCAGGAGGCCCTCGCCCAGGACCTGCAACGGAAGAAAAAACAGAGCAATTCTAACGGAAGCTCTGCGCTCGCTCGTGCATGTCCACCACCTCCACCACAGCTGCGCCGCCGCTGCCACCAAAAAAACAAGGAACACGACGAAGACAAAGACGAAGAAGACGATGACGAGGAAGACGACGATGATTACAACTACAACTACAAGCATACAACTGCGCAGCAAATATAATCTGCAGGTTTGCTTGCAGCTAGAAACCCAGGGTGTGACGGAAGCCCCGGGGGAGCGCCTTCAGGACGTTCTAGGCCTAGGCCTCCACAGGCGCCCCAAGAGAGTGCATATAGGCCTACGGGTGCCTGTTAGGGGGGCCTGCATCAGCTTCATCGCAGGCCCCCTGTCCTGTTTTGTTAGCAGGACCAATTCTCGGTGGGCCGTCCCGGCACTCCCCTGCTGCGGCACGGTTCCAAAATTGCGCCCTTTCAGGCCCGCCCCGCCACCCCAGTGCAGGGTAAATGGACGAAGATTCCTCTCACGAGGAGCTGTCGTGATCATGAGAATGAGAAAGCTCTTCTTCGTGAGAATTTGTAGCAATGGTAGCAATGAGGGTGAGAAAATGTCGATGGCATGGACAGGGGTTATGACAAACATCACAGCAACATAAGTAATCATGCCTCAGGAACTGTCAAAGCCACATGTGATATACCCGGCAGATAATTTTGAATACTAGAGCAAGGACTGAAAGAGTGAACATGTACTCTAAAAAGGCAGTAAGACCAAGGAGTATCATGAGGATCGCGATTTAGTAATGTTCATCATCGCTCTGGCAGGTACGGCTCAATCCTGGAAAGTGATGAGGGCGTAGACGGTAAGAGGCCACATGTCGGAGGCACTGGATCTTTTCAGACTCTAGGTGTAGGCTGCGAACCTGGATGCCCTGGAAGACTTGCAAGACAAAGCTTTGAACAGGAAAACATGGGATCTGCTGTTCCACAGGCCTGTTGAATTGAAGGCTTCAATTGAAGGCACAAACTGTGAAAGACAGGTTCGATAGACCGCCTGCCTGCCGCAACCAGCCCAGGCGGCTGCACTCGAACTGCTCCCGGCGTATGCAGCCTGAACCGGGGCTACAGTAGACTTATGGTGTTTCTTTGTTTCCACATCCAATGACACACGCCAAAAGGCACCCTGAGCAAGGCAGCCTGTGCAAGCGTGTTCAGAGCGTTCACGCCCTTCTGTCCAACACTTAGGCTACCAGCCTGGTTGTTGGGGCTGAGTCCATGTCACCTTCTGGGACAGCACGCTTCATGTCCACGACCTCGTCCGCAGCCAGCAAAATTGCTTTTGGGATGAGATTCCGGTTTGCCACCGCCACTTCCCGCTGCATTATAAAAAGCCGCAAAAGGATGCAAACTACCAATTTAAGTGCTTCATCAACAACGAATGCTAGACTGGAGATATGGCCCACTTTGAGCCTCATCAAGTCTATGCAAAGGCTGCAGCTTCCAGGGCCCCAACGCGGCCATCGATTACCTGCGGTGCCGCAAGGCACAAGTCAGCGGCCTGTGACAGGAGCAGGCCACGTGAGGCGTCTCCTCCCTTTCAAGTACACATTACACGGAAGGCTGCAACCCTGACATGTACCTGGAAGTCGGATTGCCCTGCCAGTTGAGTTGGGTTTCTAGGCTCATCTGAAGCAGCACACTCAAATACGCGCAGGACCTGTGGGGAATCCAGCGTCACATAGCCAAAGCCACCTTGACAATAAATTGCCGGGCAAGAACAAGTAGCTCCAGCATGCTGGACGTGTAGGAAGTTCAGATTAAGAGTTTGGGATGCGGGGCCCACCGAGTACTGAGGATTGACTTCCTAACAGATTTCAGCCGTTCTTGGCTGAACACGACTCAGGAATTACTGATGACACCCTAGACTGGCAATCGTACAAACCCTGCAAGGTGCTTGTGCGCCAATCTTGTAAATCAGCTTTTGCAGATACAACTGACTCTGCGTACGCAGTCATTCATGGAATAGAGTAGAAGTTCCCGTGCATATGCTCACAGAATCTCACAGAAAAACTCGCCCATGAAGCTCTCAAACCCGAATCCCAGACCCGAGGAGTCTGGGGCCATGGCGGGGCCGTCCATCTGGCTGACGCATCGCAACCTCCGTCACAGATCAAGAAAAGCAAGCAGCAAAAGCAAAGGAGTTTCACTAAAACTCAACCGAGCTATTCACAAGTATGACTCAAAAAGCAAAACTCTGCAAATTAATCCTTACTCAAACTCCAAATCTAAATCACTTCCTCGTAGATCTTATCAACAACTGGGGTTGAGTGAAAACCTCATTCCCAGTTGCTTGTCGTTTTTCCAAGTTTTGGGTCTTATTGTCATCGTAATCATTATTTTTCCCCCTTATCGTTTTTTCAACTAGAACCTCACGTTTTGCACTTCGCGGCGCACCAGGACATAATCCTCTGGTGCGGGGTTTCTATTCAACCCCAACTGTCCAGTGGTGCCCAGATGCACAATCCAGAACTCGGCCGTAAGCCGAGAAGTGATCCCGGAGCTGCTTCGTCCTGAGCTTATGATTCTGTGGCCACTTGGATTGATTCAAGATCTGGCGAGATCAGATAGTACCAAAGCAAGGCTGAAAACAATCAGCACGTAGATGAAGCAAGCGCGATGGTCTTATGCTAACATCACAATGGTTATAACGGTGTTGGCAATGATGATGTCGCTTCTTCATACAACGGGCCGCTTCTGCCGTCGGTCTGAAATGAAACGGTAACCATTGGATACCATTGGTGGCTTTGCTTGTGAGGCCGCGTTCTCATGCCTGTCACCTGCTCGAAGACACACGGGGCAAACTCCGTGTGCTTCCACTGTTGGAATAAATGCGCATGTCTCTCAAAAGACCGGAATTGTAGCACCTTCTGGCCCGAAAGGCACCTGAACCAGAAGCTGAGCTGGGCGCGTGGTATTGCGGGTGATGCCTGCCGAGCAATGACCCAAATCCCTTGCAGCTTGACTGCAGCTTCGGACAAAACTGAAGAAGTGCTGGGATTACGAAAAAGAGAAAGGGATACTACCCCAATTCCTCACGCATGCCTTGTTGAACCTAACGAGGGCAGCGTGAGCTCCGCCATTGAACTGCTTCAGTCCTGAACAACAGCCTGTAAACCTCACAGCCAAAAGGTCCAGCAGGCCTCCGATGAACAGCTTCGTTGGCCTCGTAGGAGCAGTTCCTGGCGTGAGATGGTAACAAAGTACCATACACTGGAAAGTACCATGAGTGCAAGTCCAAACTGCACACCCTCAAATCGTTGCTACCTTGGGCCCTGGAGACCTGGTAAGTGCAAGAAACGGACATCAGAGCGAAGCGAAAACTTGAAGACAGGAAAGCCCCGTCCCTTCTCAACAAAGCTTCCTAGGTCACTCCCCGCCTTCGGACATGCTCTGCTTCACGGCACCTGAACGCGGAACATTGCAGAACGTTTGGGCGACAATACAGGGGAAGAGCAGTGCAGAGCACAGCAGGGTCTGTGAGTGCGCCGCCGCCGCCGCCAGCAGCAGCAGCAACACCACCACCGCCGCCACCACGATAGCAATGGCAATATCGATGGTGACGGCGACCACGATCGCTACAGCCATAACCGGGACAGCGGCCAAATCTTGCATCCCAATCTTGCAAACTACTGCACTCAAGCATGTAGCCTGAGCCTCTGAACAGTTCAGCCCTCAAATGCCGTCAACAGGGCTTTGACAGTGGGGCCTGGCTGCACAGCTCCGGCAGCGAGGGGCATCATCCCTCAGCAGATAACCCGAGCCCTTGCGGCTTGATTGGCATGCTTTGATGCTTGAATCTCCACCTGCTGACAGAGAGCGCATGCGTTAAGCAGAGGATGACACATCAGACCTTGCATTGCTACGGAGCCACCCCTGAGACTGGGCTGTGCGTTGGGAGGATGCATAATATGGCAATGTAAAGCTCACAGCCTGAAACCGTTGGGACCTATATTGCCAGGTGCATGTAATTCAGCTGGGTCTCCCCTCGTTTAGCCTTACTCAAAGTCTTGAGTTTTGTAAATTCTCGATGCCAGCCAGATGCAACAGCTCGGAACGCGCTTCGTTCCAGAACACAACGCGGGAGTCGGCTTTGAACACTCAAATGTTGCAGAAAGATGCAGCTCTGGGACTTTAGTAGCTAGTAAGGAACATGGCGGGCCATGGCGGGCCATATCGGGCCTACTGTGACACGTGATGAGTCTGACTCGGGCTCTGTTTAGACTTTCAAAAATCTCAAACTCCTGAAGTTGGAATGGTGTTCGCAGCATGTAGGGCAACTGCAGCAAGCACCAACTCTGCGCGAGTTTTCAGGAGTCGCTAGCGTTTACTTCTGGAGACCTGCCTTGTCTCCTGCCAAACCGCCCCGGAGAAGCGTCTCCTGAGTCTGTGTTGGGTTGGTCATTTCCCTGCATCCCTTCCTCCCTTCATCCCTCCGGTTGCAGGATGTCTGAGCGCCCAGCCGTCAAGCTGAGCAGTGAAAGCAAGGGCCCTCTTCAAGAGCATAATCTTCACAATTTATCTAAGGAGCAGTGGCCTCACCACACGCCACAGGGGCCACGGTTAATGTAATTCCAAGCCTTTGAATGTCCCACAATACTTAAATTGCGCGAGTCAACCCCCTAACTGCTCCACCAAACCCAGGCTGAGGTGGCGACCGGAAGTTTCGTGAGAAGCTTTTTGTCTACGCAGCCGGTCTTAGTTCATGTTTTGTGCTCAAATGCCCCGGGGCACGGTCCGGGAATTGCTGGTCATTTGAGCTTGAGTTGAGGTTCCCTGCACTGATAAACTTTGTAACGCCCATGGGCCCGTGCAACCTCACAGCCAATCAATGTGGCTAGGATAACAAGCGGCCAGGCAGAAAAGGATCAGGTGCGGAAATGCTACTACAGTAAGACAGATGCAAATTTGTTTTACAAGACTTGGCACCAGCACAACTTGCCCATCAAGCGATAAGCATCAATTCAAATCCACGTCGGGCCTGTGGCTGTCAAAGTCCTGTTCTTCAAGCCCCAAAGTGTTGTGCTGTAATCCGGTCATGCTACCCCAAGCAAAACAATGAATTCAGCTGCTCTGAGGATGCAGACCGCGACGCAGCCCTGCAAGATCTCTAGAATGCCTTTCTCGGCCATAGGCGCATCAATCTTGATGTCCTTGCTGACTTTAGAGCTGAAAGTTGGGGAGCTTTGGGCTCTACAACGACTTGGAGTTGAGGATTTGAGAGCAATTCGCTTCCAGCTCTGGACTTCAAGAGGGCACTAATGGAATCACGCACGGCTGTCCGGACAGGACGCACCTCCATCTTGCACGCAGAACTGCCGCAGAACCTTGAACCCAACAAGAAACCAAACAACTTCGCCTCCAGCCGGCAGAAAATCTTCTCGAAGCTGCGGACCAAAGCAGCACGGTCCAAGCTTGCGGACCTACATGCCCAACTCCTATAGAAGAAACAGCTTCAGTACAAGCTTTCATGAAGGGTGTCGGTCTTCCTTTAGCTTTGTGGCTGTGGCCTGCTCAGGCCCTCGAAAAGCCGCACAATGTCGGACGGCGCGTCCTCAAATTAGCGACTGATTGTTGCATGAGTGAGTCAGAAAACTGTGTCAGCTACTCCCGTAGTGGATTTGTTATGGCTTTCTGCCGTCATGAACCGTGTTCGGCTAGGCTAGCACTCTGAAAGGCAGTCGGGTTAAGGACTGCGCCTTTCCCCGGTCAAGTGCAGCTTTCCTTGGCACACTTGTGTGGCGACAGTTGCAGCGACTGTTGTTGCTTAATGAGCCTTGCAGCAGTACGACAACAACGATCTTGGCAAAAAGCTTTAAGGAGCGGGTCTGCTCATAATGATCGGGAATTCAAGGTGAGCAGGAATATCGATTCTTCCGGTTCTGGAAAGCCTTTTGTCGGCTTCTCAGCTAGGCGAGCGTCATCGCCACAACTCCGAGCTCATCCGCCTGAAACTTCAAAGAACAGCAACGTGATGCAACGTGCTTTGCCAAGCCATGTGAATCGCCTTTACAAAATGAGAAACCACAGGTCAGTCTTTTGCAAAGAAAGCTGACTGACCCCACTAGATTCACAAGCAGTTCAGATGTGCCTCAGATGGGCAGGCTGCTAGCAGCTCTGCGGCCTTATCAGATACAAACGCTGGAATGGTTGGCTGTTCTTGCCGTACTCAATGGTGCAGCTACTGTGTGCCGATGGCGCATCAGAATCGACTTGACGGAAAAACCCAGCCGTCACTCATGTCAGCTGCCGAGTCAATTGCAGACGCCACAGTGTCTTCCACAGCTAGGGAGACAAAGTACCTGGACGCAAACAGAAACCTGGCCGAAACATGACACGTCGCAGAAACTGTCATCGAGCTCAGGATTTGCGTTTCGTAAAGTGTGATTTCTGCATACGGATGCATATGGTGTAGAATGCCGTGGGCACTCGTTCAAGACGCTCTTCGCCTTGTCCTGGAACCTTCCACATGACTTTTTCTTTGATTGATAGTTTGATACCTAGTTTGAGAAACTTTCACGCAGCCGGAGCAACGGAGCTGGACCATGGCCCGGTATAGAATTTCACAGGCGTCTGCCGCCAGAGTTGCATAAAGCTCCACCCGCTGGACGCACGCTCGACAAAGTGCTACAAGTAACATGCACTGAATTGTCGGGCAGCGTCAGGCACAAAATCACCTTCAGTGTCCCAGCATTGCCAAATCTGGTCTCTGTTTGGATCAAACGGTTAACTGATCCTCTGACCCACCCGAGTACCAGCAGTAGGGAGCTTTACAAGCCTTTGGAGGTTCTTCACATTTAAGATGCTCCCTCCGGCTACGCCACGGCGTCCTCATGTGGCGGACTTGTGATGAAGTAGGAAAGCACTGTGCATGTCGCCACACTCAATTTTCAAGCCCCACAGTCAGTTGATAAATAAGAATCCGAGGCAATAGCTGCTCAAAGAGGATTTGTGAGTTCCAGATCCGAGCAGGAAAGCTTGTGCACATGTCTGTTTAGGTTTCACTCAAGCTTCTGCGATCGTTGCCTACATTTCCTTGCGAGCGACAAGCCTAGCTGGTGTTGGTTGCCAAGCCTTCTGAGATCCCAGTTGGGCGGGAGCTCGTCTGCCAAGTCCTGGCAAGTGGCTGCTACAATCCGTCAGGACGGTAAGCAGAGGTTGCAGCTTAAGAGTCCATGCTGCTGCCGAGAGTTCATGTCTCTCAAATTTAGCACCTGTGAAATTTGAACCATCTCAGAGTTCACATGAGCCCTGCTCCAGTAGGCAAAGGGCTAATGAGATGAGAGTCACGGTGAGCCCTAACACAGTACAAGGAGTCCGCAGCACCCCTGCCCGAGGGGGCCTGGTCATCCCCAAAAGAAGACATCCGCGTGCGTGCCTTATGAAGCTGCAAGCCACAATGGGTTGCACGGATTGCAATTCTTTGCGGGTCTTAGTTAATAAGCCTGCAGGATCCGAATGTGGGACCGCACTCTGGCAGTCATGCACGGAAAACGTTTTTGCCGTTGCCCTTTACAGCTCGCAACTTCTCAGGCCTCCTCTGAGTCAGGACCTGCTTTCCAGAAACTTTCAAAATTCTCAGCTGCCATCTTGCCGGGAAGCGACTTGAGATGACTTTAATTGAGAGAAACAGCACAGGAATCCTCTGTGGCAAGTCCACACCTCAAGGAACCCAACTTCTGCCATAACGCCGCCTGCTGGCTTCCTCGGCACTCGTGACCTGAAAAGTTAACTCGAATTCCTGGCTCGCATGGCAGCGCTGCGCAGTGTCTATTGTTGAGCAACCCATGAAAAGCCTCAACAGGAGCCACCAACCCGAATGCAAACACGTGATACGTAATTCGCTTAGATAACACGCGGCATGCACGAGAGGATTGGCCGAACTGAGACGTCCTCCTCTCCTGCTGAAACCTGTCCAACCAAGGAGCCTCAAACTCCAAGGGGCCGTTGAAAACTTTCCAAGACACCTCCAAAACCAGTCTAGTCTAAAACGTTTCATGGACCTCTGAACCTCAAGGGGCCGCTAATCTAAAACCTCTCCTTCCACTCTCCCCTCCGCTTTGCACTTTCTCTACCCTCTCACTCCACTCCACTCTGCGTTCTCAAGACTCCACTGCACTCTCCACACCCTCACACTCCGCGCTCCGTTCTGCACACTCTACCTCCATTCTCCACTCCACTCCCTTGCGCTGTCCGTTGCACTTTCCACGCCACTCTCCACGCCACTCCAGTTTCCACCCACTCCCAACTTCACTCCCCAGTTTGTGGAGTTCACTCCCCACTCCACTCGCCATTCCACTTGCCACTTGCCACTGTCAACTCTCCACTCACTCGCCACTCCACTCCACAGTCGACATAACACACAACGAAGACACGACGGTCGAAAAGCGACGACAATTATGAGGACAGGCGCCCTATCCTTGTGACTGTGGACACTTTCGGCACACAATGAAAACATGAGTGTCCAAAAGCGACGACAGATGCGGGGGTAGCGCCGCGCGGGCTCGCCGTCCCTGTGATTGTTGACACCTTCAACGCGTAACGAAGACACCACGGTCCACAAAAGCAGCTGCACTTACGAGGATTACGACCCTGGGGCCGCCAAGCTGCGGTATGCCGCGGTGAGACACTCGCGGACGCTCCGTGGAGGCTTCACGGACACGCATGCAATCAGTTTGGTCGCTTCCAGGATGCCTGGGCACCAAAACTTTCATGTATGGCTGCATGATGCCCCTGTGGGGTCGGCTGGGGCGGCACCTCATGCGCCCTAGGATTCATCAAAATGCAAGTTCATGTGGCCCACGACCGAGCGCCGGGCGGGTCGCAGCTCCGGCGAATCGCTTTTGCCTGTCAGAAGCTGAATTGCCAAGCCGCTTAGGCTGGGTTATGAGAAGTGCTGTGCGCTATTGCCACAGGTCTTTTTCACCGAAGCTTGAAAACCTCTAGAAATGTCCGCAAAAGGGTTGCTTCAGTTCAAACCGTGTTCTCAAATCCAACAACTTTGGCTGAGGCTGTGCCGGAGAGCTTTTCTAGCCCCTTGGACTGTCTCGCCTGCTGCGAGTGGGATGGGTTCTGGCATGTCACATGCCTCAGTTTGCACAGTGATCATCCACATCTTTGTCACTGACGGCAGCAAATGCGCTGCTTCCTGCTAACTCAAAGAACTGCGAGAGCCCTAGCCTGAGATCCGCACCATGACGGCGCCATAGCCAGCCCTGGCCATCACTTCCCTGCCAAAGGTGTCTTCAAAAGCGCGCCTTGCCGGCACAACGTTGAGAAAGATCCCAGGGCATCTTTGAGCCAAGCCGGATCAATTTCAAGGATCACACTCCGGAACTAGCAGCACAAGCGCATGGTTGGTCCCCGTTTAATGGGATGACAGTGCGTCAGTACGGAAATCATGAGATGCCACGTTTGCTTTTTTGCGCCGAGGCGCTAAGCATCTATTCCTCTGCGTGTGGAAGCCATAGGACCAGAGGAGTGCGTCCAGGATATCAAAAAAAAGAGAGAACAGTTGTCAAATAAAATCCTGTTTGGAGTATGCTGGGATTACCATGGACTGAGGACTTCCTGCGTCAGAGAGGGCAGTTGCTCCCGGAACTTTGGAGGCACTGCAAGTCCCGGCTTTTGCTCTGCCACAGGCTTGTGCAACCCTGGCAGGGTGAGACGGAGAGGGCTTTGCTCAACAGAGACCCTTCTAGCTGGGTGCTACACTACGCTCTACCACGCCTGCATCGCCTGTGGTGGGTTCAGCAAGCACACGCAGTCTCTGGCTAGGCAACAGTGCCTGGATTCAATTGGTTGACGAGAAGATTCAGTGGTGGTATGTTGGGTAAGTTCCAGCTATGAAGATGCTTGTTTTAATCTGGAACAGGGCAAGGATGCAGCTTTTATCTTCGCCCTTTCATCTTGCCCATCATCTTCTGCATGTTTGCCACCTGGCATAGTCTCATTCAAGCTTTTCTACTGATTCGTCCTCAAGAACAAGTCCCACATCACACCAAAGGACCAAAGCCCTGCAGGAACCTGAACAAGTTTAAGTCACAATTTCGATTCAAACCTGTCCGTTACGTTTGTGTGATGACAGGGTGTAAGACATGGGTCATGGTTCAGGTCTTCGAAGGAGAAAAAACAACCTGGTCCAGATTGTTCCTGCGTGGCTCACTAAGACCGAAGGATTTGGGAGTTTTCCCGTGTTTCCCTTGTATCTTCTTGATGCCCTGACTCAACTTTCTCATATCTTCTCAAATCTTCCCATATCTCCTAACAATCATGAAGACATGACATGCCCTGCCACACGGATGAAGATTGGATTAAACCGGGAAGCTTGCCTGAGAAATGTAATTAATCTCATAATATCTCGCCTGAGACGGGTCGATGCCCCCGAGGCCCTCCATCATGCCACCCATGTTCTCCATCTTCCCGAACTCCTTTGCAGCAAAAATGCTTGTAATCAGTTGTCGGATGGCGTGTGGCGCAGGTCTTTTCAACTTCAACACTTCACGCAGCAGGCAGCAGGTGGGAAGACTCCGGATTCTCAGACCCTAAACCTCTTGCAATCTCAACTGGCATCAGACTGTATCCTACGTGAGGCTAAGCCTTTCAAAAGGATTGGCTGCGCACCGAGAATGAATGCCAGGCATACAGCTACCAGTAGAAGATGTCAGAATTGTGCCTTCATCATCTTCATCCTGGCATGCGCGTATACTTTCGGTGCCAGCTACTGGGTCTACCCAGCATGCGCAGTCTCTGCTCTGTAACTTTGCCAGCCAGGCATGTTCTGCGCTCCGCCCATCTGCTGCAACATTCGCGGGTCCATAGCACTCTGCCTCATTCATCCGTGAAAGACTGTGCAAGCGCTTTGCAAGCGTTCAGAAGGTCGAGGGTTGCCCAAGCCAGTTCATTCAGAACAGTCAACCCCCAAACAAACCAGTCACTTGAGCTAGGTTGGTCTACAGGTATCCAGTATCCCGTCCCACACCATGCCCCATCACTTCTGTGCTGGCAGCTGGTTTCTGAGGAGCACGCATTTTCTGCATCACCTCTCAAAGCAGATCAAACCAGAATCCCTCAGATCTCAAGTACGAGCAGCACAATTTTCCCCTCTCAGTCTAATCAAGCATTGAAGCCCTGCACCCTGCACCCTGCAGCCTCAGGGTTCATAGGGCCTTCAGAGCTATTACCAATACCAGCTGTCCAGCCTGACCGGGATTCCGCGTCAGCTGTGTAAGGTCACCACCTCAGACGCCGGAATCATGATATGAAAACAGCAACAGCATCATCATCATCATCACCATCATCACCATGATCACGATATTCACACAACCATCACACCCAGGACCCACACCCCACCTCCACCCCCAACCCGCACCGCCGCGCGTCATCGTCGTCATCGCTGTCGCCGCCAAAACTGTCATCGTCAAGACTGTCGTCCTTATCACTGTCATCCTCACCACTGGCGTCGTCATCAACGTCGCTGTCACCACTGTCGTCAACGTCGCCGCGTTCGCCGCCGAGGCTGCCGTCGTCCACATCCTCATTATGCACTATCTAATCTGTGCAGCTGATGAAAGTACCCAACCGATAGCAAGTGTGCTCCTCTTTTACTGTGCACGATGAAAATTGTGACTGCGACTGCGAGAGCACAACTACACAAGTTTCTTGCAGCTGCGCAGCCTTTGCCGAATAGGCCACTCTTGCCCATCTTCCCAACCATTTTCTCCATTCGCCTCGGAGTGTGATAAGTAAAGGCTTTACCAGCAAGTTGGGCATACCGCACATGTGTGCAGTCTGCGGCTGTCAAATGCAGAAGTGATTCTAGTGACAAGATCTTGCTTCAGCCCAGCTACTTGTACTCCTCCACCAGGAGGTTGACCTGGCAACATAAGACCGGCACAACCGCCTAACTTTTAGATCATGACTTCGGCTTGGGTGATTTGGGACTGCTCGCTGCCTTTGCATACGAAGGGCATGGAATCATCCGTCCTCCGTCACTGCCCCCAGCTAAGGCGGCCAAATTGGACGGCCATTGCAAGGAAGCCCCAAGAATTAATATATGCCCATACTGCGGCAACTTAGCTTGAATTCCTTAAGCGCCCATATAACTGCCAAACAACATCGGGTTCCATGTCATGTTCCATCTTCTTTTCCATCTGGTTCTGTATCACGGCAACCCAACTTGATTTTAATTCCTCAGCTGCAACTCATCCTAAACCTCAAGCTCTAAACCCACGCAACCCACTGAAAGCCCTAAACCTCAAGCCATGCAACCCACTCTAAGCCCTAAACCAATGCGACCCACTCTAAACCCTAAACCCTGAACCCTAAACCCGAAACTGAAAATCCTGAACCCCAAACTCTAACATATTCTGCGAAATCTACTGCGGGATGACTCCAAAGCCCCATTTTTGAGGCTCCTCAGGGATAACAGTGTGCAATATAGGGATCATATAGGGTCAATATAGAGGGATGTATATGGGGTAAGAATATCACGAAAAGTTGTACTATCTATATTTGGAACGATAAGATGGTATCGCCTCGAAACTGTATACGACTTATAACTTGTGCTTTCTTGCGTAGTCCTCAACAAAGTGAGAGGTATCCCTGCACCAAGGTTGAGTTTTGGACGCAGGAACATGATGGCGGAACGAGTGTCTTTGCAGCTTCCTACACAAAAGCCTACACGAGGCCAGAATGCCGCGTGAATGCTGACCCAAGACTTGGGAGCATGACTGAATTTGATGATCCGGACTATGTGAAAAAGGCCATCTAGAAGCCAAGACGGGCCGTTTCCAGTGTGCTGGAATCGCTATCCGCCCGTGTTTGGCATTGACAAATGGAGTGGAAGCGCAATTGCCTCAATGATGGATGATCCAGCACCTCTTGCGATTCGCAGCTTCCGGGAGTCGTTCCTTGCTGCAAGTTGTTGGCAACTCGTAGTCTGGTCTCAGAAGTCTCATTTCAAGGGCTGCTGTCCGCCCCACTACTCCGGACAGAGCGCTGCAGGACTTGTTGTGCAGCTTCTGGTTCAGCATGCGAACTACAAGAACTGAAAACCGCAAAATGCCTACCGGTACTTCTTCCACGTCATGTAGGGCTTGCAGCCTTGGGGGACGCCTTTTGCATGAAAGTGTTGGCGCTATCCGCTGCTGTCCTGAACCCACAGCCTTGATCTGCTTCAGGCATCTCTGTGTCGCGGAGGCCACGAACTGCTGCAATTACTCACTCAGAGTCCTTATAAGTCAAGGCTCAGCTGAACTTCGCAGTCCAGTTCGGCGTCCGTCCTCAGCGTCTCAGGAAGGACTGGAACGGCTTTGAGGCTGATAACCTTCCAACTAGAACGATCCCATAGATGCCAAGCGAACTGCGCCTCCTATGTTCCATTTACCCATGCCACTACACCTACACCTGATTCGTCTTCAGGGCTCAAACTCGACTTGAAGTTGCATGGAGAAGTCAACTCATTGCCGGCATCAGCTCCACTTGGCTCAAATGGGCTGAGAATTCACACAACATTTGAGCTTTAGAGCTCTCATTCCAAGACAACTTGTTAGATTTGTTAGGTTACGCATGGTTACGCCAGAAAGCATATTTAAGCACTTTTAAGTGGTACCATCTCATCCCTTCGTCTGAGCTCCGTACATGCTGTCCATGATGACCTCACTCGCTGCAATCGGTTGGAAAAAGAGGCAGCATGGCACATATGAAAGCATACATGAGCTATCATGTGTCCATGATGAGTCCATGATGCGTCCTTGAGAAGTGGAAGAGGCACAAATATGGCAGCCAGCACACGAATCTGTTAGTCAGGCAGGTTGCGCTACTTACCAGCTGTTCAAACCTGACGCCTTCGATCGAAGCCACGGTCTACCCATATGTGAGATTCGGATTGACATCCTTCCGAGCAGCTGTCAACTTCAGCTACTTCTTCTTCTCTACCCAGAGAGTGGTGTTTCTTAGCATCACCCTGTTACTGTTGGAAGAGACGGTCGCTTGGGAATCCGGCCATGAAGCGCTTGATGCGCTTGACGCCCTCCTTCTCTGCACCTGCATGGCTGCAAGGGATGCCCTCAAACTCATTTTTCCTACCTCCCGAGTCCCCAAACGTGATGGCCGCGCTGTCCGAGCAGTCCAGTACTGGGAGGTTATCTAATTTCCCCATACAAGTCGCTTATCTGCTGAGCCCTGTTGCCTGCAGGCATCAAATTGGACATGCCAGGAATCATCTGCATGATCTGGCTCATGGGACCCATCCTGGGCGCTTCAATTCTGTAAGACACTGTTAACAAGCTTGCACTCAAAAGAATCTTTGAGCCGCACTTCTGCAGATTCTGAAACCTGGCCAGAGCTGATTGGTGTTGGAGCTGGGAAGCAATGCGTGCGCCGGAAGCTGCTTCAGCAATCGCGTGTGCATCTGGCAGACTCACTCTACGGTGAACTACCAGGACTATGATGCACTATGACATCACTTCATCCCTAAAAGCTCTGCACATTCTGCACGTTCAGACATATGCAAATGCACTCTTCTGATAGTATAGCCGGGCAGAACATCAACCCACAGCCGGTGGCACTGCTCGTAAAGGTCACGAAGCGAGAACCTGGTCAAGATTGCACATTTCAACACCGTACCGTCAAAATATCCTAAGATAGACAGGACCCAGCATGATAGCATGATTTACAAAGGATGCAGCCTACTGTGTGCTTGTAGAATCTTTCAAGGGTGATCCCCAAATAAGCGTGCGTCACTGTGAGAAAACAATCGAACAAAAGTCATGGGGCAACTGACACCACTTTGCATCATGCCCCACCTGCCCTTGGAGATCTTGTTGAGCAGCTCAGGCTGCTTGTCCAGGGGCATGGCCTGGGAAATGGCAAGTTGCTACACTTCATACCTCTCAGGCAGAATCCGCGCCCTACGCATGAGAATCCCGCACCGTTACTGGATACTTCCAATCCCCCAGCAAACATAGCAAGGCAACCCGTTACAGCGAGTTGTGAAGCAAATTCGACCCGACCAGCAGCTCAGTTGAAATCGAACCCTGTGGTTCGAGCCCGCCATGCAAAAGGCAAGCCGCTGGCCTCCGTGATGGTCTGGAAGAGGCCCTTGAGGTCTCCCATTCCTGACCAAGGATAGCAACATCCGAGGGCCAGACACTTGGGTCCCAACGATACCAGTCAACGAACTTCGATCCCTGTCCCTTAGAGAAGCCCCCAAAGCGAGGCAGGCACCCAGAAGTCGCGAGACGAAGCTCTGGGCATCAAAGGGCTGGAACCTGAGCCAAGCTGAGCCAAACAGCCAAACAGCCAAACCGGATCTGGGCTGAGACCTTCCTGAGACGCCCTTACGCAGCGAGCACCGTAGGTGCACACAGGAAACTGGAAACTAGCCAACACACGAAAGGTCTGCGCGAGCAAACTTTTTCGGCCCTAACGAGGACCTGGCTCGTCGAAGTGCTCCCCCGTTCCAAGGAAAATGATGGGCGAATTCCTCAGTGCGAGTCCCTGAAAGTATGCCGCCGGTCTAGTCAGGTGCACAAGGTGACTATCTCAAAGCAAGGCATAGTCAGGCTTGGCCAAGCTCAGACTACCGTTCACTCTACTCCACCCTGGCGTTCCCCATTCCCCAGGCCCAGGCGTGGCCGAAACGGCAGAGAGCGCGCCACCACCCTTGGCGTGGCCATCGAGCTTGGTAATGATAACCTGGATGCCAGGCTGTTTCTGTTGCAGCTAAATTTAAGAATTCAATTCAGAAGTTGAGGCCCTCCCTCCACCAACAAGCACATCAAGGGCATGAGAAACCCACATGCTTTCCAAATTAAGGAGTCAATGAGTATCTTGAACACCGCCGTGATTGTGCTTGAGGACAAGGAATCGAATCTAACATGGCAGCTACCTAAATTAGTAGTAAACAGCTACATAAAAACTTGCTTCTTTTTTTTTGGGCGGGGGTGGTGTGGCTATCGCTTTACAAGGTTTTCGCACACTGCTGTCATCCATTTCGGGTGTATCGCTTTTTGGGGGCGGGGGCCTATCGCTTTACTAGGGTTTTGCTCATGTTGCTCATGTCATTGGATTGTATCTCTGCCTGCTCTTGGCTCCTCCATGATAAAAAAAAAGCGGTCGCTCACATGAGTTTACAAGCCAGTGCTGGTCCCTCGCTCTGACTAGCCAAAAAAAAACCTAACATCGACCCTTCGACCTCCTCCCAAGAAATACCAGCCTCCTCAGATTTCAAGCCCATCAGCCATGCTCAAATGCTACCTGCACATATCTTTGGCCGATGGTCTTCAATTTGTCTATGCTGCTCGTGGTTGCCGCTAACAACTTCTTCCTCAACAGGTTCCTCTGCAAGAATACAAATCTGAGATCCCTGAGCGCCAGACGCTACCGATGTCCACAACCTCCCGGAAGGCCCTGGCCTGATCATAGCAGGCCTGACCTCAATCATGTTGTTTCAAGTTCGAGGGGGAGGGGGGTGAAAGGGGGGGGAAGCGCAAGACTCGAGACGGTCGAGCCCCATCCCTTGCCAGCGAAGATGAATGATATGCGGCTGAGGCCCCAACCAATGTGGGAGTCCATGATGAAAATGGTGTCGTTTGGCTGGACTACCTCACAGAAAGGACAGGTTCCAGGTGCACAGGAAGCTGCTCCACCGCAACCCTGGCTAAACCCTCAGATGGTCATGAAGAGTTCTTAGCATATTTGCTGGAACTGACGTAGAGCTTCTGCAGCACCTAGCTGGAAGCAGCCTGAGTCAGGTGGAGAGAAACAACAGCAGAGAAGGGCTACCGAAACAAGAACCAAGTCAGTGATTCGTCCCTGGCAGAAGGAACCTCATCAAGGCTTTCCCAGCCCCACTGAGTGGCTGAAGCTATAGCAGCTATCACAGCCAGCCAAAGGCAGCCAAAGGCCTCTGCCACCTGCTTCATCTCATCAAAAAGGGCCTGCTCTTGCCTGGCCATCACAAGGACGAGAACATACGAGAATGATCCAGGCTCCTTCCAACTCCCGGCCACTCAGCAAATCTGCTGGCTAGCTATTCCGTAGCATGCGGTAAGTTGAGGCATGAGATCAGACTCTGCAATCAAGGCTGCGCACGCGGAGCGGCCAGGCAAAGGCTTCCAGCAAGCTATGAAGCCGAGCGAGGTGGACTCAGCAACTAACCAACTAGAACTCTGAGGAGCTGCGTATTGGAACCTGCTTTCGCGGTCGCGACCTCATACGCTAACAACCCACATGCCGGGTATACTTGTGACGACCGGACGTATCAACTATGATCAGGTCGTACTTCTCTTTCTTGAAGAGCTCCACGCCTGAAGGGGCTCAATTGCTTTTACCGAGCCAGAATACCACAGCTGATCTCTATCCATCATCCGCTTCAGCTCTTGAATGATGCAAAACGAGAATGCCAGTAAAGTATGCCAAAGGTCACAGCCATGCTTTGAGTCTTCAGAAATTGGATTTGGGGGGGCACTGCCAGAGGTGAGAAGTCCAAGCCTTCTTCGGCAATTCTGACGGGGTCTGTCTCGTTGTAATCGCCGTAGAAGGGTATTCTCACCTGCTTGGAGACATTTCAGAGCCAGAGCAAGGGATTCTTAACCCGGCCTACACGCGAAGGTTGGACAAGAAAAGCGTGTTGACGCTAACCCTGCTGCCCGATTGGTTTGACTAGCAAAAGTGCTTCAAGCTTGGTTCTCTCTCACTGATTTCTGGGTCCATGGTCACATGAGTGGCAGGGCTGCCACTCACACTCCAAGAGATGAGGCTGCAAATCTTCTTGCTTGACCAGAAATGTTGCTATTGTTTGATTTTCCTCTACCTGTAAAACCAATGCCACCTGGCTGAGCGCAACACTCTGACTACAAAACTCTCCAGACCTTCAGCCCTGCGAGGAATGAAAAGCGACATTACTTACTTTTCACTGGTGTCACCACTGCCGGCGATGGCTTTGACATGATCTGTGGGCCTTCGAGGCGTTCTGCTTCAACTGGTCAAAGGCACCGGCACGGAAAGTGTCAGCACACACCAGGGCTGTTTTCCAGCCTGAACTCGCACCCGAGCAAGGGGAGCAACTTGTTGCACTTCGCTGCTGCAGCAGCTTCATGCTCAGTCTCAAGTGTTTCCCTTGCTAGCTCACCTAAATCTCAGCCTGAAAAAACACTACTGCCCAAGCGGAAAAGTGTCAGCATGTGACTGCAGTGGCAACATGCATGCGTAATTTCTTGGATCCTTCGAAATTCCAAGAGCGTCTCCATCAAAAGTGGATGGACTGCTCGGGATGTACAATGAGACATTGTGACAGACATGTTGGATGACGCACCAGTTCAAACCCGCAGCCCGCCAACCCAGAGTGCGAGCCTTTCCGGTTGTAGTGGTGGGCGTACTTGGTGCAGGTGGTGGTCTTGCCACTGCCCTGCAAACCCACGAACATGATGATGTTGACTTTGCCTTTCCTGAGACCACCGGATCAACTGCGCATCTTTGCTTATGTGTCAGCTCTAGGCTGTGGACACTTCTGGGCGCCCGCGATGTGGGTACTGCAGTTGAGAGCATCACTTCGCCAAGGTACGGTGAGGTTGCAAGTGTGACAGCACTTTCCTACACCCCTGCTCATGGGATTCACACAAACTGCCGCCCAACAGCACTGCACATGTCTCACCAAGAAGAGTTTGATGGCAAGTTGCTCTAATTTGTAAGGCTTCTTGTCTGTCGAAACCAAGCGGACGAGCTCTTCCACCACAGCCTCTCGAGAATGGGCTGCGGAGGGAAAGCTGACGGCATGCAAGCATCCAAACGGCCCTCGTTGAGCGAATCATCGATACAAAAAGAGTGAATGCCGGCGGACGGAAACCGAAACCAAAGGACCTTCTGGATGAGCTTCCGCTTATTGACGCCGCTAGCATCACTTTCCAGTAGCACCCGCTTCTTGACATTGCTCCTGACACTCCAAACTTCCATGCAGGGTTCAGAGCTCGAAATGATGCTGAGAAGCTTGTACGCGTAGTCTTTGAGGTGATGTGACGCAACCAAGGCCAAGCAATTGCACAGGGGCAGCATGACCTAAGTCCTAGCGCCTCATGGACAGCTCCCTACCATGTGTTTTGAAGCGACCACCATCTTGTAAAGTCTCCACCCTCCTCAGCTCGGAGACATAACGGACGTTGACGTCCGCATGAAGGAGAGCTGCAGCAATCTCCTGGAAGGAGAGCTTAAAACAGGGCACAAAATGACGTGGACAAGTAGGGTGCTTCCAGACACTGTTGTGAAGACAACCCTTACTTTCTTTACTCGCAATATGTCCCCGCACAAACTGGGAAACAAGAGCCTGAATCTGCTTTTCCAGGGTCCTTCAACACCTCATCAAGGAGGTCGTCATCCTGAGAGTTCCCATTGTCGCAGGAGTACAGGCTTGCTATCGGTTCTCGGGGGTTGTGGGGGCTTGCCGACCTTGAGGTTGGCGGTATTCGTGCATTGAAAGTTCTCAGTTTGCAGCCTAGGTATGAACGTGGAGCACGCGAATCTCTGAAGACACCCCACTGGTTTGGAAATGGCAGGAGTACGGCCCAGCAACAGCACATCACACCTGTGGTTTCTCGAAATATTTCTCTTGAGCTGTTGGCTGAGCTGCAAACGACACACGCGGTTTCTCAGAGTAGCGAAGTGCCATCTCAACACGCATGGGCGCGAAAAAAGCGCTGTTTGCTCTCAACCCTAAATCATCATCAGTAGGTTTGTAGGCAGCTAATAATCCGCTAATACAAAAACCCAGAAAATGGCCACCTTTGCTTCTAGGGTCAAGCCATGCGACACCACCCCTACTTCAAGTTCACAAGCCTGGAAGACCCCACCCGTTGCAATATGTCGCAACTCATGTTCGCACACCATCTGCAACTACCAAAAATACCAAACCCTTGCTTGCAAGAAGGACGATCAGTCTCGACACTCCTCGGAATCCTCAATCAAGTTTTTCACTCTGAGATGAATCCAGGCGGCAATGATCGGCGCCTGGTTCAGCCTCCGGAAAGAGGCGGTGATCCGCTGGCCGAGCTCCCCGAGCACCATGGCCTGGGGGCTTAAAGTACAGATGTTGATGAGCTACTGAAAGCGTTCTACAGAGTTTGGAGGGTTGGGTTTGTATTGGATCGGTTCAGGAAGACCTCGAAGCAAACACAACTTCTGGCAGTGCAAGGGCAGAGAGTGAAGTCTAAAAAAGGAAGCACAGCTCCTGTTCATCTGACCTAGCTTGACAACAGAGTTTCCCAAAATGCCAACAAGTAGCAGCAAGCGTGCCGCAGCGCTCGGGAATAACAGAAGAATTCTCGCTTTGAGCCAGTGAGCAGAACCATCCATGCAATCTACTTGGGCTGCCAACACTGCGCCATGATACTCATTAAGAAGTGGTGGGGTCTAATCACCTCAGAGATTGGTGATTCGCATTAATGCTGCCTACTTGCAACTAATCCCATATTATTCGGGTTTGAAAAACGCGACACGATGAGTTGCGCTCGATGCCTGGCTTTCGGCTGAGATACACACTACAATCTCTAGCACTAGTCTACGTCACATGTTATTGGCGTCATGGAATGTTCCTCTTCATGAACTGGTTCTATGGCCCTTTGACGGTTTCATTGCTTTTCCGGCGTTTGCAAACGCCTCTGCTCACACGTTTTTAGCCTCACTCCTGACGCCTTGCTGGATTCTTCTTGCGCGAAAAAAGTGGGTGCATTGGTGAAACGAGATGGCAGCTGCTCAAGTGCCAAGGACTCTGCTAAGAGCCCTACTACTCAGGGATACGTGAGCTTATGCCTTTGCTTGTGGTATTTTGTGCTTTGCTGCAGGAAGACAAATTCTCAACTTCGGCTCAGCTGGGTCCCCAAGCTGATCTAGCACAGTTCGGTCAGGCCCGCCTCAACATGTATCTTCATGCGTAAGCATGAGAGAGTATGTGCACTGCTAGACTTCAATGGCTGACATGTGCTTCGTTTGACCTTCTGGTGCTGCCACTGCGACGGCTGGTAGCATTTCTAGGTAAGCGCTGTACGGGATATGGTTTTGCCCTTGGCTGCGACTGTTGTTCCTGAGCAGCTGCCAGTCTCATAAGCTTGTTGGCCAGGTGGAGGAGCGCCAGACGAGCCGGAACCCGGGAATCTTCTCAGAATCGACACAGCGTGTCAATGAACTTTCAGCACAAGAGTCATGCGTTAACACGTTGGACACCAACAAGAATCACTCCAACCATCGATCTGCAACCGCTAAGTGGAGCACTTTGGCGCAGACACTGTAGGATGGCCAAGGAGCTGAAAAGGCCAGATCAGATACAACAGTGCTGTCGGCCGGGGTCTCCTCCCTCAAAGCAGAGGCCAGATGTGGGTATTTGCTAATTGAAAACTTGGGTTCGCGCATAGATGGGAGAGCAAGAGAGCTGCCTGAAGCTCCAGTGCCACATTTTACACTGGAGGCAAGCCTGCGATTCAGCTATGACAACGTAAGGCTACATCACACAAAGACAAAAAGCTTGAAGTTCGTTGAGAAGGAGGTTTTCTAGCGCCATCGTCTTCTGATGGCAACTGCCTCGCAATTGCAGGCCGCAAGCTTCCCAGCGCACTCTTGCAAAGTAAGGTTTGCAGATTTTGGGTCCTAGGCTATGTCTGCGCTGGCGATGAAGGGGAATTGATTCACTTGGCTGCACCCCTTCATATCATTAGCTTCTTGTATTCCACCTCCCTGCCGCAGCAGGACGTGAGTGATCAGCATGCAAGGCACTTGTCAGCAGATAGCGAAATCTGAAAAGACCACGAAATTGTGTAGATTTGAAGATGGCTTGCAGCTGCTTGCCAGGTGGTTATCAAGCACCTTACATCCGAGAGCTGTTAGTCCAAACCACATGGCTCCAGAACCCCAAGTTCTTGGAATTTCCGGCGATCAGCGCGCAACCAGGCTGAGCTCTCTCGAGGTTCCCCAACCATACCGGAGAGGGAAAGACTGAGCCGGGAATTAGTTGAGACGTGCTTGAGGAATGAACTTAGAGCATCCCCACCCTACAAACCACGCGGGTGAGTTCTGGAGCTGGAAATAGGTCCCGGAACAACATAGTGGATGCCAAGGTTAACGGGGGTGTAAAATCGATCCCTGCCCAATGTTGAGCGAAGGATCAAAGACACAATATCCAAACTTAACGCTTGGAGCTTGCCTCCCACAATCTTAGTGAGAGACGCAGGATGCACAAAGACAACACTTCCAATGAAACGATATCTAAACCCTCAGCCCTTGCCACCCGCAATCTCTTCATATTCGCACTCTGCACAAGAACAACACACACCAAGAAACAATATGTGAATGCTGGTCTGAATTCCTGTATCGGTGCCCCAGTGTTCAGGTTTCCTTGCGCCAGGTCTTGCGCCGTCTTGCGCGCGTGGACATGCACGCGCACTTCCACATATTGTCACACGCTGCATGCATATTTACAATGTCAACATGTAAGAATAACTGTTAGTTCTTGCGCCCGCCCTTGCGAAAGCTTGCGCGCACATGAGCTTTTGCAGCCAACTGCAAAATCCTAATGCCGCCCTTAGTACTACAATACGCGGGGTTTAGAATGATATCCATGTAGACTATCTAAAGCCTTGCCTCTTCAAGCAACTCTCCAGCGCCCTAACTAACTGCCCGAAACATTCCAACTCATTAACATGGAGTGGGGATGCTTAGAGTGACTCTCAGGTGTTTGTTGGAACTTCTTGCGGGAGAAATAACTTGGGCCCCTCGAAGTGTGGAACCCCTTCTAGAAACGCTTGGGCTAGCGACCTGACGCTCACCACAGGCAAGCCAGCCTTGATCGAGGCATGAAGTGCTGCGGGATCTACGGACGAAGGACTAGTAGGTACAAGCCCAGAAAGGGCTCGTGAAACATCGTAATCTGCACCGTCGGCCTCTTACTTGAAATGTTGAAGTTCACATGATTCACAAGGGGAAGTTTGGGAGCATTTCATCGATGTAAGCTCCAGGCAGTGGATGCTGCAAATGCTCCTGTAACAGTTGCTCAGGGATAAGGGTGCAACACCTCGCTGGCCTTCGGACCGCTAAGCCGGTAAGCCTTGAAGACCTGAGTAGACCTGATACCTTCCCAGCAAAGGCTTTCCTGCGTGAACTCTGCCTTAGTCACTTCCAAGATCTGACCTTGCCAGGCCTGGAAGAAGTAGATGAAATTGAAGCTACGCTTGCAGGGCTACAAACCCTGTCCTGCATACTCGGCTGAAGGCTTGGCAACGCGCATGGGGAGGACATCTCCACCCGTGCCTGAAGAAGCCATACTTGTCTTCAATCCAACACCAGGAGGAGAACTAAAAACAACGGATGCAAGGGACGATCGCGGAGATTGAATGTTGTTGACAGATTCGAAATGATCCGGGTCTATCCTAGAATGCAGGCAGCGCGGAGACGACTCGAAGCATGATCAGCTCTCCGGGAACCAGGCAGCTCGTGAGCCTCCAGCTGAAGCCAGCCCTTGCAATTTCTTTCGGTGCTGAAGCACGCAAGCCAAATGGAAATGGAGAGGGTCCCCTTCCGCAACTTCGCTTTGCGTGTTCGGCCTGCACCGCGCCGGCCAGCACCCGACTCGAGACCTGCAGGCAGCAGGAGGGAATGTTTCATCTCGCTGAAGCTTGGGATTGAAGACAAGTGGGGACCAGTAAGCGCGGTCACGCGTTCCTCTATGTGTACGTGGGTCAGCGTGACTGCGGCTGCTTACAGCTTCCGATAGCTTCCGGATGTTCTGCAAAAGTTGAGACCCTGGATGACCCACACATATTGTTGTGTCCTGTACACAATCAGGACTGCAGAAAGGGTTCGGAACCACATTTTGACATTCCTCCGGATCTCTTATGAAAAACGCAATGATGTTTGAGCCCCCTATCATGAAATCACTGACCTGCTGAATATGCAGGCACGGGGAGCTTTTTCCCTACTTGCATATCGTCTGATTCGTCGTGAAGTTTTTGCTCTGCTTCAGGAATGGCCGGCTGCATTTCCATAAAAGGTTTCCAGCTTCAGAACGTTGCGAAAATTGGACTTTCCTTTGGCCCCGACGTGGTAGTCTTGGCACTGCCCCACGCCGGGCGCCACGAGCCTGGGCCATGATATGCTGCTTGCGGAACGCGAGGGTTTGATTGAATGCAGGGATGCTGCCAAGCGCTGCTTCCTTTTGATTTTCTTTCCCAAGGAGCCTGCAGTAACCCGCCGACACCTGACTTTGCCAAGGTCGAGCCGTCAGGAGGCAAGAAGCGATGCCCCGTGGAAACGCTCTGCTCGGCCCTCCCTCGCCACCCCTTTGCGATGCTGCTTCCACGGTTCCGGTTCGCTTGTGTCTTTCGACTGTGGGGCGTTGTGCCCAGCTACGGTTATGTTGAAATACTGTTCGGCGTGCACGCGCCAAAGAGTTGCTGTGCAAGGAAAATCGATCCAACAACTACGTAGATTGATTGACATGCACCCTCTTTTGCGCGAGCAACTCCAATCTTGGCGCTTGGATGCTAAGCGAAGACTATTTTCTGCCAAACACCTATCTGCAAAGTGCCACGTCCTCGTGCCCGTCTTGCATTGTATCAGAGATCTTGTATATTAAGGCATGATGCATAATTTAGTGGCCGAATTTTGTTCAGAAAACATCCCGAAAAATGTTAGCCACTGCCCCTCAACAAAACTGTATCCCGTTCTACTGGGCGTGAAAGGCTCCAGAGAGACATGGCACTGGTACGGAAAACCCGTGCGAACCACCTGTGTACTTTGACTACGTGCCCCGGAACTTCGAGAGCTGCCCTGACCAACCGTACGCCGGGCCCGAAGTCAGCGGGCCTTAGCAGTGCGACTTTCCATTAACACTGGCTGTTGTGACTGCTGTGGCGGGCGCCACCACGACGGCAGCTGCTGCTGCTGGCGGCACCGCCCCGCTGCATTGAAGATGTTGACAAGATGATTTCAGCATGCTGCATGATCACGAAGACTTTGAAAGCTCCAACATGCGCAATAGGTCCGGACAAATTGTTTGAAGTTCTTTCAAAATATCCTCTGCCTGACTTCTCTGCACGGTTCCTAAGACAAAAAAATAGACAGGAAATGTGGCTTCTTTACCAAGAGCGCAACACATGCGAAGCACCTCCCATGAGAACGCAATCTAGTGAGAACGTTCTTGCTGAACTAGTCCCCTCTGGCTGCTCCAAACCCTTGTACGCAGAACACAAACATCCCAAATTGACCTTCTGCAAGGAGGCCGCCTATCCCGAGAGGAAGCCCTCCAAACTTAGCTCCTAGCCAATCCACATATCCTGCGCCCAGACACGGTTAAACAAATGTCTCCTTGCCGACAACTCCGCAGTCTCCTTGGTAAATTTCCGAATTCTTTAAGCCACTGGGTCAGATCACAAAAGCCAATCATGTCAAATGCTGGACTCAAGCGGGGGATCGCACGAACTATATGTCAAGCACGTAAAACTTCATTTGAACTAGTCGTTCCAGAGACGGTGTTCAACTCACCCCACCCTGCAACTGGCAGTTGCCAGACCTATTTCCAGGCGTCCTTTCATGCAACCCGCACTTGGTGACTCCATGAACAAATATTTCTTACAGCAACACAAATCAGCACAGCGTATGTCTCTTCCTTCGATTGCGGAACGCGACTGCCACAATGCCACACAGTATGTGCACATTGGAAGGCTCGAATCACATTCGCAAGTATGACCTTTCGTGAACCTGCAGTCTCAAAACTCAATCAGGAAATCCAAAATCTGCGCTGTCTCTTGTATGGTGACATCAAGCAACAGTTTGCAGGAAATTGCCCAGGGCTGCAAGGGGGCCGTTGATCACTTAATCTTCCTCCGAATAGAGCATAGGAGGGACTAGCTCTGTGAATGCACTCGAACCAAACTCGTGCTCCTAGCAAATGTACAATGAGATGAACGACGCGAATGATGATGTCCAAGAAATTGGATCCACTAGTGGATCCAGCTACGTGAACGTCTAATGCAAAGGGATGCCACTATTACATTATCAATGAACCACAGCACATCATGCCCAAATACTATCAGGGAGGTTGCGCGATTCCTCATCACACACCCGTGTGGAAAACAAAGGTTGATAAAAGGCCCTCGCCGAGCAGCCATAAATCGGTTACAACCCTATCGGCAAACATCTACACCATTGGAAACCATGTTCTGCTGGTCACTGGTTTGTGTGCGAACAATTGAAGACAACCTCACCGGCATGTTTTTTTCGCATGTTTCCGCCTATTAATTACTACCAGTACAGATCCGTCATGGACTTGCCGGACGCATACAAAGCTTGCCATGTGGAGGCAGGCCAAAAAAGCTCTCTCACCTAGCACTTGAGCTGAAGGCAGGGAACGGGGCTTGCCCATGGCTTGTCCTCAGCGGTCCAGTGCAAACTCCCCACCCTGGCGGCGGCGTCTCGACGGTTTTCAGCTATTTGCGTGGAGCGTACTTTGCCGACATTTTTGATCTCTCGATCAAGCATGCCACGGATGCGCAATTGTCCGGCGCGCCCCTTGCGCCAACCAAAACTGGAGACCCTGCGTCATCCAGATTTCATTTGGGCGGATTTCACGAAGGTGGAGTCGGAGGGCGTACACACGGGTGGCCTCACTCCATCATCAGTGGCCTGGCACCAGTATGCAACAGATGATGATGGAAAATGAGCAGGCAGTCTGCGGGTGGGTTGCTTTTAAGGAGGGGAACCAGACCATATGACAACCGATAAATATCCCTCGATCATGCACGGATGCCTCAGTCTAAGGGCCACTGCGTGTCCCTTTCTTCAAGGTGAGTCGCGATATTGTGGTTTCCAAAGCCTTAGCAAGTTTTCAACTAAGAAGGTCTTCGAGGATATTGCTTGCGGAAGTCCCAACGCGCTCCTCATCAGATGCGTGCGCTGGGACTAGAGCGTCCGCAGCACCCCTTCCTGCCACCAGGGAAGCAGTGCCCCCCAAACCCAGGAAACAAGCAGTGTCCAGCAAGAGGTCGAGGCACGGGGGGGGACTGATGGCGCAAGCCTGGTTGATGTGTTCTTCTTTGGAGGGACCTGGAAACAGGTGGTTAAATCCACATTTGGAATGACCTGGTGCTCTCAGAATCTCTGAGTTCCAATTATTGTCGCCTGCACCAATGCACGACTGCGGCCCAGCCCACAGCGGTCCCTGCACAAAATCATCACAACCTCTATAAGTGCTTCATGAGCGCAAGAAAGTAGTGACAGTTTCACCGGACTGCAGCAGCAGCGTTTTCTGGTCGCTCTGCAGCGGCAATTCATGTATCAGCTGGACCCTGACAAAACAGATTTGGGACGATCTCTGGGACATCGGGGTCCTATCTGGCACATTATCCGCTTGAAGCAGGCGTCAGAGTCCTACTTGCCAGGGGCCACCCATGGCCACCCCTTGCGTCAATCTGAGAGCCCGCGTGCGTTGGTTTTTTGAAAGTTGGCCCAGTATGCGCGCGAATTGCGCGCGGTCGTTTAGAGTTGCTTGATTAACTTGACAAGCCCACGCTTTCTGCACCTGTTCGAGTTCTTGATTGCAAGATACTACAATGCGCGCTGTCTGGAACCAGCTTACAGGGCCTTGGTTCGTCTTACTTCTTGCGATCTCAGCATGCGCCACGTTGGCCGCCGGGACTTCCTCTTAGGTGCGGCTCCTCTCACCCCTTGCTGCTCCAGCTGGAAGATTTGTTCAACAATGTGTTGATGAGACAACGCAAAACCAGCAGTGCTCTCAATCCCTACGGCGGTCATCGTCTCCCAGCCTGTAGCAGAAATAAAACGTTCCTTCTGAGCAGCTCCGGACAAAGAGCTTTTGGAGTTTGCGATACTCAGTACGACCACGGAAAACTCAAGAGAAGTAGGTCACACAGGGCCATGGCAAGCCTCACTCTAAGCTATTGTGAGCCCTTACTGGCTGCTGCTGGCAGAATCAGACATCCCAGCAAAGGGGAGCGGGGAGCAAAATGCTGGGAGTGGCAAGGCGCGCTCCTTGAGCTGAAGCTTCAACATGCTACTTGTGTGCTTCAAAGACTGGATATTCCTCTAGACCCAAACCAACGAGGCCATCCTACAGGAACAAATCAAAAGCTGCTTGTGCGAACCAGGCATCGCCAAAGGGTGTGCCAACACCAAATGCTCCATCAGCACCACCGGGCCGGAAGCCCATGTAGCCTCAAAGCAATGTTCAAGTAAGACAGGTAACGAAAATATCTGAGATTCTCTGCAGCGTTGACATGTTTGAGATGCCAGTCACGCTAGAAACTAAGTAATGTGGTTCCTCACAGATCAAAGACTCCGGTGGCGTAACTTCCCCCTGGCTCACGTCACGTCAACCCGCGCCACGGGCTTGCACGACCACAGATATTTCTGATGAGACTGCGCCCTTCATTCCGAGTTTATGCGAGATGGCACCATTGATTTGGTGCTTCTGAGCTGTGCAAGTTGTTTGCTTCGGAAACTGTTTGGGGTCAAAATCCCAAGCTGACCGCACAGCCCGTCCATCTCTACCGATGGCAGTTGCACTCGCCTTCAAAGAATGCTTACGGCTTACGGCACTGGAACCCATAAATGCCCCGTTTGCAAACCAGATAGTTCCCATCGAGACACCCGGCACACCTTTTGTCGGAATCTCCTCAGTCTCAGGGCTTTCACAAATTCAGGAGTCCCTCGTTGGGAGGGAGCATCTAGAATTCCTGGTGGGGCTCGCATTTTGCGTTTCAAAAGATTGGTTGCGACAGGGGGTACTAGTAATTAGATGGCCCTCGATTCTTTGCATGATGATAGTATAAGGTACCTCAAACAGACCTCAAATGACAATTGTCTGACATAATTCGACTGAGGTAGCGTCAGAACCGATAAGCATGGCAGTGGCACATGCATCACGCAGACGCAACTTAGGTTTGGAATCATGCAGACTAGCATGATGCGCCTCCTCCTTGAAAGTCGTTGCTGACACAAACCCCGGAGCTCAAGTTTCAAGTCAATCGGAAGTGAAGCAGAAAGTGAAGAAATGTCACCTCGATGCCAATTGCTGACGCCAACGCTGAAGCTCACTGAACAACTGAACCTACCCAAAATCAAGTAAACCCTGTAACTTGCCCGCTCTTACCCTTTCTTTTGCCCGCTGGGCGGCTCGCGGGAAGCGGCCGAAACGGGCCGTGTTCCGAGGCTTGGCGTCGACGAGCTTTGCCTCCAAAGACAAACTTCTGCTGTTCTCCCGTTGCTTGTTTGGGTGTTTCAGCTTTAAGACCTTTGTCAAAATGCGGCCCACATGAACATAGAAGACAATTCCCTTCCTAACAAGGTCACATCATGAACTATGTCGGATCTGTGACGCTACAAGCTTTCCGCTGGGCCCTCACTGCAGCTGAATGGTGCTCGCCTCCTCCTTGTTGGATTGCGACCCAAGACGTAAGGACAGCGTGAATACCTGCAGCCAGCAGCATCAGCAAACCCATTGCATTGCATTGCATTTCAAGTCGCAAGTTTGAGTAGACCACGTCATGATGCAAACCGTCATGCTGATAGGCCAAACAATGTCAGCAACGGCATTTACGAATGAAAGCAACACCTCTGCCGAGGATGATGCACACAACACAAGAAGCCCACAATGCTAAGTCAGGACTCAGGCCTTACCTCCTCAATCCACAAAAAAAGTGCTGCCCCTGGTACGGCAAACTCTTGCCGGCGCATTGGGAACTGCTCCATCACTGGAAGCTTTGTCATTGCGCTGAACGATCCTGGCAGCTCTAGCACTCACTTTCCCCAGCTGCGGTGAAGCGTCCAAATTCAAAGCGCATCATCTCGTCTTTGTTGCCACGCTATGATGAATGATGGTGCGGAGTGCAAGCTCTTGTTGCAAAATGTCAGTGTTGAAGTCACACGGTTGCTTCTATGGGAAAGCATGTCTTCCACTGGGCTTCGAATCATAGGCTGCAGTCAAAACTAGCCTGTGGCAAACCACAACTGCCAGTCAGCTTGGCTTCTATCGGCATGGACGTATATAAGCACAGTGACCAACTTCAGACTCAAGTTCACAAGCCCTGCACGTCAGAGTGAAGACCTGCCAAGCTGTGGGTGAGAGGTTACAGGCTGCGTAGCATGGTGTAAGAGCAGGCACAAGGGCCAATTTTGAGCCGCTGCCCGCAAGGAATGTCTGCAAGGGTCTGGCGACCGCAGGGGCTGGCGGCTTAGCCGACACATCCCAGCGTAAGCTCACCGCACCAGTTGGTGCAGTCTGGAAGTGCTGCGACACCACTTTACTGTGTATTTGCCACGGCCATTGGCCTCGGGGCCACTTTTTCTGATGCTTGCAGGAGCTGTGGTTAAATTAAGCAGTGTCGTGTCGTGGATTAGCCATATGAGGCAGGAGTCCCAAAAACTGACCACAGGAAAAAGGAGAGACCAAGAAGCCACCAGCAAAAGCCACACTAGGCAGAACCTTCATACAGACCTGGATGCAATGTAGCAGTGGGAGGGATGCCTATACATGCCTGGGCAGCTTCCCGGCCGCATGGACTGCTTTCGTACGCGGACCGATCAGTGGGTAAACAAGTAACACAGGAAACTGCCCAGGCTGTCCGACCGGCAGCGCACTGATCTACAGGCTTTCTGTTGATCTCGCTTGCCTGTACTGTTCAGAGCATAATTAACTAAATAGCGCTGGGAGCGCCATGGCTTCCAGTGCATGAAAAATTTACGCCGTCTGGCTGAGAAGCCTGAACATTTCCCAACTTGATGGTCTCTGAAGTGTCCTCGGCTGCCCCAAAATCACAGATGCTCTGGGTGCATCCAAGATAAACGCCTGTAAGGGTTGAGTACATCACGTGTACCCGGGTTGAAAAGATTCGCCATGCGATCTTGACATCGATTGGATTTGGAGATAATGAAGTCAAGGGACAATCAGCTGCGCAGCCACGTCCTTCAAGAGCACGAGACTGTCCAAGATAGTTCCTTGAACAGCTTGAAGTTGCTTTTGCGTCATCTGAGACCTTGAAATGCACAAGCTCTGCGTCCAACTCCACTTGGTGCATGTTCTGCTCTTGCAAAGCCGCTGAACTTGGCCTGACTTTATGGATGAGGGCACAATGCTGCCATTCTATCCCCAAGAGCTGCCAGCAACCACAGCAGAGCAAATGCAGTCTAGAAAGAAAGCTGATGCCCCGTACAGTATCCTTGACTCTGGCAACCATTGCAACGACCAAAAGCAGGCTCAGCCTTCTGAAGCATGCAATCGCGCAACTGCCGCATCAAGTCGACTTCACGCGCCGGCCCACGGATGTGGATGCAGCCCTCTACAAACTCACCAACTCCGATTCTGTGATCTCCGTCCTCGACACGAGCTGTGTAACAGTCAAATCCAGGTGCCATCCAACAAGTTTTCAGCATGATCCCGCACCCTTGCAATCCCAAGAGCATTTGAATCTTCGGAAAACAAGCATGCTATCTGCAGATACCAATCAGGACTCAACACTGGTCCTGCTAAGTACTTGCAAAACAGCCTCATCTCCGGTGACTTGAAAAGCTCAACCTGTTTTCACAAACGGCTTCAACACATGAAACATATCCTCATGTTTCCCTCATCAAAACATGTGCGAATGCATCGAAAACGCTGCTAGATCAGCCGCAACTACAAGGACAACGCCACACGAGATGAATCACGAATGCGATCTCAGCAAGCAAGACTTACGTGCTCCTTTCCTTCATGAGCTCTCCATAATGCCACAAAATGGTGAAAGCTTTGCAGTCTTGCTCAAAAGGTCAGGACAAGAACCTCGGAACTTCATCAGTTCCCTCAACGGGTTTCCGCATGTTGTATGGATGTGAGCTGTGTACCACAGCGGCTGAATTTGCCAAACGCGGCGTTCATTAAACTCTCTGCAAAGCAACTAGCCAAATTGCAAAGGTTTCCGCTACTCTTACACTCGGACGGGCGCAACAAGTTGAAACATCCCCATCCGAAGAATACCCATCTGAAATTAGCCAAAAGGAAGATTGGTCAAGGCACCCGGTCCAAGCTGCGGAAGATTGTCCAAGCGTCTTCTGCCTGCACATTGGAGGGCGCAAATACATTTCTTTTTTGGACGTAGCCGTCGTCGTCGCGGTAGTGGCTGTGGTGATTGCAAACATTGTAAACAACAACAGCAGCAGCGACAAGAACAATAACAGCAGCCGGCTTGTCGGGCTTGATCGCCGGCAAACAGCCCGAAAAGTGGTTGCGCCCGTTTCGCAGGCTAGTAAAGCCCTCTGGTACTGATGTGTTTGTCATCCTTGCAAAGGCCATGCAGGCGCCTCTCTCCTACCGGGCAGCAGTAGCCTTCATTGTTTTTGCCATTTATATTTTTGTCGCATGTGTATTCTAATCGGACTATACGTCGCATGACTGCATGCCGTGGTTCGTATCCTATCAATTTTGGCCTAGCCCCCGCCTTGATGCCCAAGGCTTCAAACCAGGCCTTTGTTGACTCCACTTTGAAGCCGCGTTCAAACTCCTGCTTGGGCTAAATGCAAGAACCTAACATCTGCGCGTGGCAGCCTGGAGGAACCAATGAAGCTTACAAACAGCTTTGTTCCAAACTCCTTGATAGTGATCATGCCACTGCCATCATGGTCCATCATGTGGAAGAGCTCACCGAACACAGCTCGTATCCTGGGTCGTGCTTGAAGCAGAAACACATGACACATCTGCGAAAACTTTTTAAAAAAACAAGAACTGAAGCCCGCAATAGCGCAAAGTATCCGTTCCTGCTCCCCGACCATGGACTGAACCATAAACTCATGGTCTTGCTCGGCTCCAGTAATCGCTGAATGGCAAAAAACCTTGACGTCACAGGAGCTTTCTTGCTAATTTCTTACCATTTTGTCGACAGCCACTGCTCTTCCTGACGTTGCTCGGCTTTCGTATCATTATTTGACAACTCTTTCTGTGTTGCATGTTGCGACAACACAATTTCAATGTTCAGAAAGACTGAAGCTGCACTACGGTCTCTGACCAGCAGGGAGAAAGCTTTGGGGGAAAAAGCTTTGGCGTGGGTACCGGGTGAGCTTTGGGGGAAAAAGCTTTGGCTGTGGGTACCGGGTGACGGGGTCAAGCAATTTTTGCCAAGACAGCCAAGAGGCTCCGGTCATCACCTGGCTGTTTTTTGACATAGGCTCTTACGTACCGTTACCCTCGGCTTGGTGATGCAGAGGATGTTTCATTTGGACCGCTGGCCATGATTTGTCAAGCCAATGCACGAGGTACCATGCATATCTGAAATCCCTATAGAAGGCGGAACAGCAGGTTCTGCCTGCTCTGCCTTGCAGCGCGTACATGCAACTTTGATGCAACGCAGTTATGCACTCTCGTCATTTAGGTTAGCAAAGGTGCCACAGGATGAAACAAGATCCGTATGCCAGAGGATCTATACGGCAAATCTTTCAACTCATATTGATCTCTGCAAGATGCCCGCTAAGCTTTTCAATCATGCCGAGATTCATTGAGGACAGCAAAGCAGCAAAAAGCGATGTACCTTGCATCTGCCAAAAGGTCGATACGCAAATAGCCACTCAACCGCTAAAGCAGCGAGCGCCTACTGCAGGAAAATGATTCTCTTTCGTTAAAACAGCAAACCCCTGTACCTTGTAAAGCGGTACAGGAAGGAGGCCAAAAAGGGACCAACCGGGGACGAAAGGGGAACCGTTACTTCAATATTGAAAACCCTGGTGAGAGCACTGCTTAGGCACTCTTTCCTTGAGCCAAAGCATCGATGCCATTAGAACATAACACTTACACTATATTGCATGACAAGGGTCGTGTTTTCTGAGCTCCCCCTCCATGCTAAGTATCAACATTGTTTGGCTGCATAACCGCCACGATTGTATCGACTAAGTCTCCCAAGTGCAGCATGGTTCATTAGGCCTGATCAGCCTGGTGTTCCGTAGCGCTGCTGCAGTGCTAGCGCTCACCCGAATGGAACACAAGCACGGAGCAGAGCGCTCGCATCCATTGCGATGCAGATTCATCGCTACATCAGCAACCTGCAGCTGAACCATCAATCATTCTTAAAGGTGCAGACGTCACGTCATGAGGCACATGGGTGGCGTCTTGGAAGTGTCAAAAAGCTCGGAAAGTTTGAAGGCATGCTGCCACTGATGGACAATCAAAGAGTTTGTGAAAGGGTCGGGTCACACCTCTGCCGGTCGGTTCCGACGTAGGAGAAATCAATGTCCTCATCGTCATTCACGACTTCAAAAGTCGACGCAGCGTTGATGCAGGGAGTCTCCTTGACACTGCTTTCTGCCGTTTGGAAGACCATGACAGCAACGCGACGGAGGAATAGGGTGAGCATCATATAACCGGATGCGGATCTAGACGCAAGGGAAGTTACTGCAACCATCAAACCGGGACGGGCCTAAGCGGGCAAGCTAAAGGATCTTCATGATGACCCGAGGCGCGCTGGGCGCCGGCGCTACGTGTCGTTGGCAGCCTGACAAGGTCAAATCATCGACATAAGCACAAAGTACAAGGACCAAGTCTTCAAAGTAGTAGACAGATGGCACGGTCTCAAACTCCACACCACCTAACTCGACTGGAATTGCACGTAGGTGATGCTGTCAGTGAGCGAAAGGTTCAGGGTGTCCAAATAAGGCTCTGTGAAGAGGGGCCCAGGGATTTGCCAGGCTTCGCAAACTGGGCGCCAGAAGGTGCGGCGGGAGAAGCTCAAAGGTGTCATCTTTGGGGCAGAGGTCTGCTTGTACATATAAGCCTGTAACGCATCTGACGCGGCGCGCGAATTGACGTCCAATAATCGCCTAGAAGCTACAACTATGTTCCCTGCTTCGAGAGATGAAGGCGGACAGGCACACAGCTCATCGAACCTTGCAGACACGCAGCTCTGATCCCAGATACCATCTCCCCTGAAAACAATGCATACCTTTAGACGCCAGAGATCAGACTCAAGCTTTGTTCCATTGACAGGCAATTTCATAATCAAGATAGCGAAGCGAAGACCGTTGGACGTTGCGTTCGCTGACGCTAAACCCCATTCTTGGACAAGATCGCACCTTCAATCCACGTACCTGCACCAGCAAGAGCTTCCTTCACCTTGCTGTTTACGGCGCGCGCGCGCCTGTCTGGCCGGCTCACTCCTTGCGTATCATGAAGGCGATGAACGCATCCTCCAACTCTCAGTTCTCTAAGAGCAGATTCGTACATCAAAAGGTCTAAGGGAAGTCAAGGTTTATACCCTCCTTCTCCCGATGAAGCTGAGGAAAAGCCAGGTACATTGCACGGCAGGAGGCGAAGGGGAGCCAGGCCGCAAGCCTGGTTCTAGCTCTAGCCATTGCTTCTGTGTAGGGGCTGACCTGCGAGTCGGATCCCTCAACGGGATCGCCATTAATTGCCGGTTTGGGCAAGGACACTTGTAAAACATCCAGCGCTGAAGCAAGACGACTCCTTCAAGTGAGAATCTTTCAGAGTTCGAACATCGGAGTGCCAGCTGCAGAAACGAGGCCAAAAGCACATCCGTGAAAGGGGGTGAACACCCAGCCGAATCGGTCGTGGAACGCCACGATCCCAGAGAGACTCCATCCGGCGGCGTATTTAGGCCACTTAAACGACACCTTGCCGCCGAGCGCCAAAACGATTGCCACAACTTGCGCAAGAGAAAGCACAAGTTTTCGAAGACTCACGATCAGCAGCGAACTTCTCAATGAAACCAGGCTAGGTTGCCAAGCCAGCCGAGACCAAGCGCTCCAGCTTTGCACTCCAAAAAACCCGAGAAGACAACAGCCAGGCATCGTGCTCACTTGATCAACACGTCGCTCAGTGGCCTCTGGTGTTTTACAAGATCACTCATGTCTCGAGACAAATGTATGACTTGAACGCCGCACTCTTCACCAACGCCACCAGGCATGGAATTGGTATCGCAGCAACAGCAGGAGCTCCGTGAGCTGGCAGGGAAGGCTCGCCCGAATCCCTATCAAAACCAACACAGACCCCAGCCGGCGGCGCAGGCAAGTCAGCTATGAGCGCTGCAGTGGCACGTCCAAGAGCTTCGTCACCATCCTCTTCAGGGCTTGTATCTGGAACACCAAAATTCTGGGGCGTTCCCATTTCAGCTTCGAATCGCGCGAAGCATTCAAGGGTGTTGTTCGATCGGTTGTTCTCACACGCTGATCACCCAGACTAAGAACCACTCTTGAGGAACCGAGAGCACGTAATATACACTCGACTGGTCTTCTTCTTTGCGGTTGCTTCAGAGGTGAAAAGAAGAGGCAGGGGATCTGGCATTCATTCCCACACGGTTGAAGAACGTCTTTGCGGCGCTCCGGAGGCGGAGGAGAAACACAAAAGGACCCTCCCTGAGGCACAGTTCGGCTTCACGCAAACTGATGGGTTCATCCCACGCAGAACATAGGTCACGAGCCTACACCCTACACCCTGCTCAGCGCACCAGTCTGCAAGTGATCCAGGCATCGCACTGGGAGAATTTAAAAGCATCGTGCCTGACCTGGCTCTGAAGAAAACAGTTGGCCCAACAACAGCTTTCTAGGAAAAACATCTTCAGACCCCAGGAAAGACAAAAAGAAGTTCCATCCAGAAAGCGATTCATCTTGGGGCGACGGCTGAGCAAGGTTGAATCCCACGCCACCATATTTGCACTCAACAGGGGCCCGGGCTGTAGCTGGATCGCAAATCAAACCTTGAGCAGTCGCGAGGACAAATTCCAGACCAGGATGGCAACAAAACCACCTTGCTTGCAGATTCAAACTCCTAAGCCTCGTCAAACACAAGTGACGTGACTTTAGACGCGCACGCAACGCCCTATGAATCTAATCCATGATAGTTTCAAATGATCGGTCTACTGCTGGCAAGGCTGCAGACACCCCGGTGAATCAATTTCTCACGCGCAGAGAAACACACTTTCTTCTGGAGTCTGAATCCTCAGGAGAGCAGGACACATGAGTGTGATCACAAGGTCATCTGGGTTAACATCTGGATCGCGGGGTTTCCTACGAACATACGTCGCAAAATGGTGTTTAAGGGAATGGAAAATACGATGCTCAATTGAAACGGCTTCGTCCCGGAGACGTCTGACCCTCCCATTCAATTTCTGCAGCCATCCCGCGAACAGAGCGAACTTCACTCTTGAAGATTCGATGGGCATTCTTCTGCATGGGACGCATAAAACCTCGCGTCTTCCGAGCATTAAACCTTGATTTTCGACATGTCATGGACAAAAAATGGCACCGAGCCAGGCAACTAGAGAAAGGCCTTTCCGGAGTTCACATCCAAGCCGGTACCGCGCATAGGACAGTTTTGTCCATCAGAGGTCAAGGAATAAACTCCTGGCTGAGGGCCTCCTCTGGTATGGAAGGTGGCTGGCGATTGTGATGCACCCAACAAGTTGCGATACGCTTCAAAGGGAATCCCCTGACCGGACAAGGCGCGAGAGTAACCCAAGCGCCGGCCTGCAGCAGCATCAGCAGCCCATGGACAGACAACCCAGCTGACGCAGAAGTTGCGGGACACACAGGCTGGACGCGACAATGAGCACGACTGTAGCCGTAGCCACTGCACCTGACTTACCTAAGAGTCTCATTGGCTTTAGGCTTTGCCTCGGGCGTTTACTTAGGCTTTTCTTCCTCGCGACTGTACTAGCAATTTTCACCAACCAAACCAGGTCTTCGCGTTTTGGGCGTCCGTCATGGCCTTTGCCTTCGATTTTGCCTTAGGCGCGGCCTTCGGATTTGGCGTTGGAGCTGGGACAGCCGGAGCTTCAACTTTGGCAGGCGGTGCTTTAGGGGGGCTGTTAAAGATGAGGGACCTTTAGCCTTTTTAGCTGGAGCTTCAATCGCCGGAACGGCTATTGGCTTGCTAGATGGAATTGCAAGCTGCAGCGACTTCCTCACCGACACGGCGTTGGCATCCTCTCTGCCTTGAACAATCAGGCCGGTGTTTTGCCTCAAAGAAATTCCATTCGTGACGCAGGAGCTGACTCCCTGTTTCACTCTACGGAAGAAACACTCCCCTGGTAGCCTGTCGCCTGAATGTTCACCTTTGGGGCTGGCTAGCACCAAGCGGATTCCTTGAACGAAGTTTTTGAAATCCCTGACAAGATCAAGGTCGACACGCCTTGCGAGCAGGGCTAGCATTCCGGGGATGGTTCGGGGATGGTTCGGGTTCTACTCCCATGGCTTCACTTAGGACCACCTGAGACAAAATAAGCTATTTGTCAAGAAGTATATCCAGCTCACCTGGAGCTAGAACTGTTGATTGAGGCCATCGCTCGTTAGCCGCCAAGATTGAGCCGCAAGGTAATGCTGCGGGTCAAGGAGTTCAAGGAAAGGCATGTTGTTCATTCTCGAGCGTTGTTGCGTGTGAAGTTGGAGCCTATTCCAGTAGATGCTGCTCGGTGTCGCACGTGGAGGAATTCTCTTGTTCAAACCGCCAAATTTGACACTACTGGCCAGGCTCTAGTTACGGAATGGCTGTTTCGTGCCTTTCGTGGGGTTAAAGATTTGCCTGAGGATTCTGGATTTCCGGTTCGACTTGATGTGTGGGCTGCAAGCGAAATGACTGCCCACCGTGCCATAAAGCAGGTCCTGGAACTGGAGCAAGATATCGTCTGTTATGCTGAGCGATGTGGAAGGAACACAATTATTCAGCCCAAAGGCCAGTGTCCTCGAGGAGACTTGCGCCTTCGCCGCTCCGCGGCGCCAAGCGCAGCCAATCGGCGGCGACGAAGCGTCCAATCTTTGGCCGAAGCTCAACACGGCTCCGGGTACGTTGCAAGGTGACGGCATTGGCCTGAGAACGGCAATCTGCCAGCGCTCATTCGACATATTCGATTTGACGAAAGTTGGTTTCAAGCTCAATCTTCGCAATCTGGCTCGCAATAAATTCAACTGCAATCTCGACTGAGATCGACTTTCCAAGCCATGAACTGCCACTCAAGGGGTTTTACCCTATTCGAGAAGCCTGGCACACCTAGCTTCAGAGGCCAGAAGTTGCTCTAGAGGTTGATGAACAGCACCTGCTTCTTGAAAGACAACTTGAACAGCCTTATTGGCTTACGGACGCCTACGGCTTGGGCAGCTTGACTGGCAGCAAGCCGTTGCGTTTCTATCACTTCAGATGCGTTCCTTCGGGGTGGCTTGGCAACCGGACGCCTCACCAACGGAGGACGCCCTTCGCCCTTCCCTAACCAAGTCAAGCAGCAGCATTGCAGAACTTCTGGGTTCCGCGGGCGCAGACATGTTTCTTGAGGCAAACCAATGCTTGAAATGGTCAGCAGCGCTGGGCGTTGAGCGGACTCTACACTAGAAAGGTTTTGTGGCGGGATGAGGTGCAAAAGCGACCAAACAAATCGATTGACACTACAGCGGGAAACAATGCCGACGCATCCAAACAACCCAGGCAATTCAAAACAAGGACGGGTTGCAGATGAAGAAAGCAAGCTTTAAGGCAGAAGATGACAACAAAACACGGATTGTCTGCAAAAGCGCCTCTGAAGCAAAGATCAACAAATTCAGAACTCCTGGATATGAAACGCCATCTGAGTCGAACGAAAAGGCTCTCGGCTGATCCAGGGGTTGTCATCACAGATCGCAACACTCCTTTTTGAAAATACCCTACGCAAAATATGAAGCTTGCCATCTCGTCCACTTCGAGTTCAAAAGGACTGCCAGTTGTCGAGATGGCCAGCACTGACAATGCAAACTACTCGATGTCCCGGCTGCTGGGACCAACGCACGAAGAAAGCACCAACAGAACGCTGCGTTGATTGCACGTAGCCGAGACTCTCTGTAAGAATGCCGAAAACTGCAGCAGAAACGCCACATGCTCGGGTAAGCCAATTTCTCACGATGTTGTCGATGCTGGGTCCCACCCACTTGCGGTGTTCTGTAAAGGCGGCCCCATTTGCTGCGGTCATCAAAGACGAGCACACACTAGTTTGAGCGCGCTTGCGAAGGAACAGAAATCTTAACCATGTTGCTGGAGGTCTTTCACACAATTTTTGCGAAGTTTGGGAGGCGTAAGCGGTACATTACAGGGAGAACAAGTCTTGTCACTGACGTAATCAATCCGGGTAGAGGAGGACCAGGAACAGGAGTGCCCAAAGATGACGAAGCCGAAGATGCACCAACTTCCTCTTTCACAGCAGCTTGGACCAATTCGCCCATGAGCGGTTACGAGACACTTACAAAGGCCAGAAATGCCAAACAAGTCATCACTAGAAGTGAGACACCCTTCACATCCCTTCACAGCATTACGGAGAACTAAACATGGGCATGCTGCATACAACAAGTAGCTACGGCGGAATAGCAGAGCAAGGTCAAATCCCCCATGGATCCCCATGGCATGATGCAGCATATTGAGCCATATCAGGCTTATATCAGAGCCTGGGGTGCATAGTGTTGTAGTGTCATGAGCTTCGAGTGCTGGGCAACCCGTCACGATTCGTGACCGTCTTGCACCGGTCAGTAGATGACCAGCATCAGGAAGCTGTATGCATGCTGCACAACGCAAAGCTGAAGGCCTCAACCTGAAGTCTGATCTAAATCCCCTTCAACGCTTTTGGCAAGCTTGGAGGATCCACCTGCAATTCAAGTGTAGGCGTTGTGTGGTCTACGCTGAATGAACATTAGGAATCTATTGTGCGCTTGCCAACATGACTTGCTAGCTGTCAATTTCAATTCGTCCGCGGCCGAAGGCATGCTGCGCTTTGACAGACGTTTCTGTCGTGCTCAAAGCACAGGTGACCAGAGACTGGCATGTAATATCGTCAGAACACCGTGATAACAATACTAAAACTGTCACTACAATTCATTGAAGCACCACCGTCTATCACATCGAGGCCGTGATATGAGCGCGATCTTGGCACCGCACGCCACTAATTTGCCACGCCAGTGCTGATGATTCGTACTAGCTTAGCATGCACTGCCTTACACACGCATTAAACTGGCAGAATCTTGTGCGGAGTTGCATCCTAAATCTCAATCAAGACTCTAGGGTTCGGCTTTCTGCTTCCCGTGGCGCAGGGCACGTGCCCGCAGTTCTCTGGACGGAGCTCCCCCAGCTACAGCAGAGCAAGAAAGAAGCCCCTTGGACTGAGGCAACTGAGGCAGCTGCAGAACGAAAAGGGAAGTCCAGACCCAACCCACCAGGCCCAAGGCCGACATGGCGTGCCTACAGGTGAGAGGCTTGAAGTGCTCCACAGCAGTGCTTTGCAGCATGTGAAATGTGTGAAATGTGTGAAATGTGTGAGTGATATACTGTAGGCATCTGTAGGCCAGGAAGGCTGTGCCTCCACTCCAAGCCGCCTGAAATAGCCGCGAAGAGCCTTGGACTCGTGTGGCTTGAGTGTGCATGTTCGGAGGGCTTTGGCTTCTGCAGCAAGGCCTGTGCTACCAACTCTTTCGCCAAAGAGCGTCAGCATGGAGACCTGCAAGCTTCCGAAGAAGTTTTGCAAGGCCGCAATGTCTGCATCTTCGGATGCCATAGTCAGGTAGGCGTCGGAGAACAGGATAGAAAATAAATAGATGATCAGGACGAGCAGGATAACTGACCTTAAGCACGCATGATCACTAAGTTCGTAGCAAGGCTTCCTGGATTATCAAGTGTGTCTTTCTGCGGGTTAAGCAATTAAGCCTCCTGACTCTAGCAGCATCCCAGTAGCTCTTGGACGGAAGGACTTGCAAGGGCATGCGTGACGAGAGCTGGTAACGGCCAAGGCTACACACCCTGGCCATTGCAAACCCCTGATCCCTACCGAGCTATCAATTACAGTAGATAGGTGATTTGCGGACCAGCTGGCCATATCAGGGATTTCAATGTGATGCCAATAGAGAACACCAAGATCCGAAGAGGACGAATGAATCCTCAGTGGCAATGGTGGCAAGACTTCTGCTCGTCCAGGTGCCCGTTTGCTAACAACTGCCCTACTGAGGCCTTGCAGCAGAAAAACCTAAAGCTCTGAGCTTGCGGAGGTCAGAGGCACATGACTACAAAAATTTCAGCCCTTGGCAGGCTTTAGAGCTGAAGCGTGGACAGCGGTGGCTTGCTCTCATCATGCCCCTGCTCGGGACAACGTGGCATCTTGCACCCATCTTGGACCATCGGCCGGAAAAATGTTGACCACTCGTTGAAAGCTAGCCAAACACTCAACGCCCAGAAAAGAACCAGGGGCGAATGAGGCGGATGATGCGCAGCCCACGGGCTGAGCGCGCCAAACGCAGTATTCCTGGAAGGATGGCCAGAAGCTGAAAAGTTTGGGTTACAGTTGGCGCCATGTGCAAGCCATAGAAACAGTAAGAAGGTTGCACACAAGTAAACGCTGCGATCTCAATGACAGAGAGATGCAGAGAGCACATTTGGAATACGAGCTTTCTGGTTTGACGCGCCACGCTAGCTTTGCAATGCAATCCGCAGCGTTAAAATCCTGCAAAGTTCCAGTTGTGCAGAGGATTCCGCTAGCCCCGCAAGCCTCAGACTAAAGGCTTCCCATGTGCGGCATTGCTGCAGTCAAAGGTGCTAAGAATCCTGAATGTCCCAGACGCAAAGTGCTCCTTTCGAGATGCTCACATGAGACTGGCAGGGCTAAGTGGGCAAATCTGTGTCTGGAGCATGGAAGAACTCTTAAACATACGTAGCAGGCAAGAATGGCAAAGGCAGGCGGCAGAAGTGGTGCCCGAATCTTCCACGTGATTACAGGCATCAGGTCGGCTAGCCAGTGGTGGCAAACTTCAACAATGTAGTATGATGTAGTACTGTACTGACACGTACTGACGGATGTCCACAGAATCTATGCTAGCATTGCTCTCTCTTGGAGACTCTTGATTTGCACATTTCCTCTGCGAGCTTGACTGGAATGCCCTCAGCCTCAGCCTTCCTTCTTATTCTCAGCACGATAAAACCTGTGGTGTAGGCTGATCACCTGTGGCGCGGTAATGGTCCTGCAAGATAAGGTCTACCAGGAGCTCAACAATCGAGAGGGAGACCTGCATTTGTGGCGACAATGGCTCATTCTGAGTAGAGCGCTCCAGCGAATTTGAGGCTTGCAGGGGTCCCAACTAGAATTGAACAGCGTTTTGCCCAAAAAGTGCGGAAAGAGCGGACTTCAGGAGGCAGTTGTTCCTTGTGATGCTGTATACTCACGGCTTGGACAGCCCTGTGCACTTGAAACTGCTGCGCTGCAGCTACTTGAGTCTTTTGAACAGCCCAACCACCTAAACCTGAAGCCTCAAGCCTTCAACCAAATTCGCGCTTTGTGCCTTATGGGATCCGGGAGGGTTTGCAGCCATAGGCAGCTCGCAATCGTTCAAACAGGTTGCAAAATCCATGTACTTGTGACAACCCAACTTGACAAAGCTCATCCCAAACAGGTTGTCCGAGCCATCAGCAAGTCGAAAATGTTCCAGGCGTAAGCACCAGATGTGAAGAATCTCCGCGCACCAATCGTCGATATCCGCCTGGATTGAGTGGGGTATAAGATGGTGTTCATGTTGACCATGCATTTCACGATGGGCAGCTTAAAAACTCGGTGTGCGCAGTGTGCTGAGCGCGCCCGGGTGCTGTTTTGGCAAGAGCAGCTCATGCTGGCAGGCAGAGCCGAAACACGCATCTGGCCAGCGCCGGAGCGCGGAATGCGGGGAACACAGAATGACACAAGGGTGATTCAAGCCCACACAATTTGGGAGAGATCACTGAGATGTTTGGCTCCTTGCTCGCCTGGGCGAGGGAAGCCTGAAACATCCTGAACCCAATGCCTGGAAGACCGAATGATGTACTCCCCAACCCTCCCGGCATCCCTAAACCCAAACCCTACACCGCAAATCCTCCCGCAGCGCAGCTCGAACATGGGTACAATCGAATACCGGCTGGAGAGGGTACTGCTAGGATAGCTAGCAACCCAATCGCATTCAATCGCACACCCAAGCCGCAAAACCATTCACGCCTACGTGGTCCTACTTGCAGAAAACAATTGTGTATCCAGTAAGCAAAGGCCCTGAGTTTGAGATAGTCTGTGCTGCGAGCTTCCTCCAAGCTCCTCTTGCTTCAAGTCTTCATGAAGGTTAGTGCCCTCCGTGCCCCTTAGACTGACAAAGAGGCTTCAAGATGGATTTGGGGTGTTTTAAGATGGAAGTAGCTTCGTGAAGGTTTGGAGCGGGGCTTCAGGGGGGGCTTGAAGTTGACCCAGCCAACAAGCCACAGAAACCATGAAGCTTTGAAGCCCTGCTAATCTGATCCCGACCCAAACCATAATCAAAACCTGTACAGATACTGTAGAGCAGACTCTAACCCAGTCGCGGCCCAACACGACCCAAGAAGGGCCAGAAAGTAATTCCCCAACATTGGGTATTTAATTGCCCTGACTGACAAAGCAGGCGGGCACTGACGAGGGCCACTCGCATTCTCAACGGGGGAGGCACCCAACCAGCACCAGCTGTGCCCAGCACGCGCGTACGCAAATGTGCGGCGGTATGTGGCGGTCACAGGTATGCCTGCGCCGGCGCATTGGAGCGAAAGTGTCTGCAGCGTTGCAACGGCATGACAGGCAGAGTTCAGAAATTCCGTGGCCCTTAATGGACAGGTCTGGTTTCCACTACAAGCCCTGCAGATTTTCGGAAGCCTTTTGATGGTTGCGTGCGATTGAGTAGGATGCGCTGCAGACTGCCAAGTCTCAGAGGTTCGATGAAGTTCATTCAGCCCTGGCTAGCAGAAGCCGCTTTCCTCTGCGTGGAGTAATCATGTATTGCTAGGTGACCGACACACCGAAAGACTGTGTCATTGAGTGCAAGCAGGGCACAGAGCAATCTCCACGATGAAGAGGAAGGTGAAGGCCAGATGTGTGGAGACCATCACAGGCGGTGGAGCTGCGCCCAAGTTGGCAGCCTCCCATTCCTCGGATGTACATACATTAATCATTAAAGTCTGTCCCTGTGCTTCAAACGACGGAACGTCCAGCATGTACTGTGCGCTTTGACAGTCAAATTGATTCGACATGATACTTCTTGGGTTAATTCAACACCTTGGAATCGATCCCAAACGAAACAAAATCTTGTTGCCTTTTGAATGAGTTCCGACAACACCTGGATGCTGATGCCGACTACACAAATTTTAGCACCATCAAGTTGCCACACACCAAAAGTTGAAACTCCTCATCCCCGTTGACTAGCAACAATCTGTGCACCCAGGAGGATAGCATGGGAAATGATCAGGACCGCATAGAAGCACTCGAACTGCCACGTCAACACCTTCGTTTCAGGTTCGGATAGGGGGCTTGGCGTCAATGCTGGGAGGCATCACACCTAGCCAAAATTAAGAGTCCCAAAAAGAAATGCGATGTTCTTTCAGCAAGGGACCACTGGGGCGAGCATGCGCCCTAGCATGTTGTTGACGGCAAGGTCACGCGTGCCCGTGGCATTGCGGAGGATGATCTTCCAGGGAGGAAGCAGCAATCATCGGGATCATAGCTGCTTACGCTGCTTCTACTCCATATCCCCATCCGGTGACTTAGTGCTGGTCTTGGCTCTGCAGCCCAGGGACACTGCGCTTGTCCTTCCATGGGTTGCTCTGCTCGGCAGCGACTGCTGCCCTCAGCGCGGGAGCATCTTTGTACATCTGGGTTGCGCACATGACTGCGGATCTTGTCCAAAAAGCTACTTGTACCTGCAAGCCCTTTGACATGGCTTCAGAGCACAAGCTGTGCTTCTCAGCAACACAGAATGCCCTGTTGCAGTTTGAAAGCAGAAGCTTCATTCCTGAGCCATTGATTTGCAGAAGGGGTTCTCGTAGGAGTCCTGCCGCGAGAAGCGAGATGTAAGCACCATCGGGTTCTCCATGGACCACAAAACTCCATCCTGCAATCTAGTCAGAACTGCACAAGCCAGTCAGAATTGCATTAGGACTGAAATGCTGCCACTAGTGGCAAAAGCAGATACCTCAAGCTGCACCTAGACCTTTGCACAAAAGACCTTGAGGATATTGTCCTGGAAGGGTGATTTTGCAGCAGACGCACGACGACTCCATTGAAACGATGCTTGCGAATGGATGTGATCAAATGACAGAGGTCCGGGAATGAAACTAGCCAGGGACAGAACTCTATCTGCTCCTACAATCGAGCTTCTACGCCAAGCAGTTCCGAGATGTCATCCCCCAATGCACACATACTGCAGTTCAAGCCTTGGAATTCCGCTGCGACGCTGGCGGCGTGGACCCGGTGCCCAGAGGGGTGGACCCAGCGCAAGAAAGTGGAGCTGCAGAGGCCGAATCCTGTGAGAAAGCAAATTGCTTGCAGAGGCCCCAGGCATGTAATGCATGTATCATGGTGCCGAGCCCCATCGTGGCTTTTGCACACTGCCAAAACCTGGTGCCAGGAGCGCAGCTCCTGCCCTGGTGAGCTCCCCGGTAGCGCTGCATCCTGGTGGTCCTGGTTGCTTCGGGACTTGGGCAAGTGAAGACACGAGTGTCAAAGCAGCTGCGCCAAGAATGCAAAAGCGTCAGGTCAGCTTACTTTCGAACTTGGCTACAAGCTTAACCTCAGAACTTCAATCCTCTTGCAGGATCGGCCCTGCATCTGCTCCCATAGGCTTTTCGGCCGGTCGCTTGAGGTCTACGCCCGGCTTTGCAAGTGATGAGGAGTGGACCTGCAATCTGGCTGTCGCTTCGGCTGGGCTTATACTGCAATACCCTGATTACTCCACTATTACAGTATTTCTTGATCTGTGGGAAACAGCCTCGCAGCACGCTCACCCGAATACACCGTCGCAACAGGTTTCAGAAAGTCTTGTGGGCGTTTCCATGTCAACCTAGAGGCTTCTGATTCTTCTGGCTCTGGACGAGAGGTCGGTCAGCTGAAGCACTGCGCATTCCAAGTGATTCGGGTTTAGGGTTACGAGCCTGAAATACATCGGTGTCTCATAGAAGTGAAGGGCGGGGCACCTCTTCGATGTCCTCTTGCAGCAATCCGGCTGACGGCAAGTGGCCTCGAAGCCTCAGCTACAATCGGTTTTACAACATGAGATTTTCCAGCTACGGGATCTGACCTGCTGCATTCATCTTCTGCCTGCTAAGGCTGGATTTGACTTAATGGCTTGTAATGCTCATTGCCAAACCGTGGCGTATGCTGCCAGCTACACTATGGGCTCAGAATCTAATCCAATGTTCAGGCTGTCGAGTTTGACCGTGGTTGAGCTTGAAGCTGTGTCTCTGACCTCTGGCTCCCAAGCTGAAGTAATCCTGCGAATGGAGCTGCAATTCTCTATGAGTAGTTCCCAGCAGCATGGTTTCGATCAGCTGCCGCTGCTCTATGAGTCGCTTGTCCACCTGGCAAAAGCAAAATGAACATCAAACTAGGCAGCTGCTCCAGGAGTTCAGCATGTGGCTTCGTTGTTGTGGCAACCCCCCTCCCAGCAACAACCGTCTGCTTGCCGAGCAGGAAGCAGCATGCAATGTGGAAAGCGCAGAAGCTTCAACTGCACGTGGGGGGGGCATCGCTGCGAATTGTGAGTGGAATTTGCGCTTGAGCCCACCCAAGCATCGGGACCGTGTCAAAATCTCTTTATTGTTCCCGATGCTTGCGGATATTAAGCTTCGAAAAGAAAGCAGTTCTGAAGGGTATCCCCAAATACCTAGACTCTTACAGCAAGGACCAGAGGAAAGGGCCATGTCCAACGCGCCTCCTGGAGGAGTAGTTGGAAGCGATCTTCCAGGAGCTTCTGCAACAGCGCCATGGCGAGGCTGCCGAAACACCACAAAGTCTGCTATGTCGCAGGCTTCCAATCTCTATCCCCAAAAGTGGGCTGAAACACATCCAGGTCACCGGGCGCGTAAAGAACTCTATAGGACTCTAGAGAACCGTGCGTTGGCAATGTCAGGGCTGAACGCCCCGGGTCTCCTGGCAAGTTTCAACGTTTGCTTCTGGAGTTGGAGCTGGAGCTTTGCCGGGATTGACAGGACCTTTTGACATAAGCTGATGTCAGGATCGGGGTTGCGTTTCCAGATTCATGTAGCGCAGCATGAGCAGAGTTCGTTCGAATTCTGCGTTCATCGTTTCCTTTCTAAATTCATGTCAGAGCTTGCTTTGGAGCCAGCCATCAGCGAAGCAAGGCTGCTTCATGTTGAAGTCATGCGCCCAAGCACGCGAGTCGCTCCATTTGTCATGTGAACATGAACTTAATGAAAAGTGGTTTGTCATACCTTCCACCAGTCCAGGACGGTGTTCGGTGGCCATTCTCTCATTATGAGCCGTGTCTGACTTACGACAAAAGCCTCCATTGCTCTTTCGATGTCATGAAGACACGAACAACAGTTTCCAAGCCTTGCCTGCTGGAATGCAAAAGCCCTGGAGCCCTTTGAGACGAAATTCACCACAAGTGTCTCAGCCGCCCAGTCCCTTTCACCAAAGACATTGGAACCCAGCACGGAAGCATGCAAGGCATTGCAAGGCCCAGGCTGACGCATGCCCTGCTGCTGAGGCCGCATAGACTGCTGCAGCACCTGGGTTTTGGTGCATGTGTCAAAACTGTGCGATACAGCTTCGGTTAAGACTAGGCTTGCTCTGCAGGCAGCAGCTAGTGGTTACGTTTTATACATTGCTTCTGTAGCACTCGAACTTTCGTGACCCGACTTTTTGCTGGCAGGTCCCTGTATATACGAAGAATCAAAGAGATCCAGCCCCTAGTTCACCGCACCTGCCCTTTCTAGACCTGGCAGGAAGCTGAACGTGTGCGACGGGATAACCACTGCCCTCTGCCCATTAAGGTCCCAGCTGCCCACGGAACGCTGCCGCGTGCGTTGCTGAGAGCGGACCCTGCAATTCTGTGGCACGTGTCACTTAACACCCATTTTTCAGGCCTACAGGGTGCTGAGATCTGTGCTTGAATGGGAATGTAAAATTCAACGAAATTTGCCTGTACTTCATTGGGAGAAATCTGCCTGTATCTACTTGTACTCCATTGCGAGTGAGCAGTTTAGGAGTGTTCTTGTTGGTGCCCCACTGCATGTAAGCAACGCTTTCACTGTGTCAAGCGAATACTCGAGCACTTTGTACTTTTCTTGATCATGGCAGATCATGTTAAAGTTCAATGATCAATTTACAATCCCAAGCTTCTCCCAAACAAGCATCTGCACACCGAGAGGCTCTTCACATGGACTCTTGATGCTTCACCATGAAATCCCGAATCCCTATTGCTGACCATTCACTTCCCACACGCCTCGTACGCTTGTTGCGGCTGGGGCCACGCTGTCGCGGGGCAGGGACTGGGACCGCCGGTGCGCGAGCCTCGGACAAGTCTTCAGGTGGAGCCGAAGGTCTCTCGTGGCTCAGAGACGTGCTCTGCTTGTGTAGACTCAGGACTGCCGTTTGTGATGAACAAGTTCTTCAGCCTCGTGCTGCGGCTGTTTTTGCAGTGAGTGCAGGGGGCGGACCCAACATGAAGGAGGAGCTGTTTGGTGTGCTGCTTTCGGCACATGTGCTGGCAGCTCTGCTTGGCTTGGTGTGGTAACGCTGCACAATGTCGTCCGGATCCTGTTCCCTGTCGCTGCTGGTTTGCGGGGCCTTGAACCTACAACCTAGGAGATAGGTCGAGCTGGTCGAGGTTGTCCAGGTTTGGTCTGAAGTTTGTTGATTACCACAAGCAGCTGCAGCCCAGCAATTTCAGGGCAGTGCGCTGTCTAAGCCGTGCCTTTACGTGCATCCTTGTAAACACCGACTTGGAAAGCAGAGCTGACGTCAATCGACGAAATAGGGGGTGCTGTAGAATAGGACGCCCAGTGCTCATGTCCGAAACTTTTGCAGTCGTGGCCAAGCATTCAGGTCAAACCAGGAAGAGAGTCATTTCCATTCTTGCAGCTAAGGCAGCCAAGGCGGCCTTGAACTGTCACTATCTGAGCCCTCTGAGCCCTGCACCGTCGGGGACTCCCAAGGCGCCTCGAATACCTCTCAAGATGGAGACTGACGATTTTGGCGCTCAGAAGTTCCTTCGCTGAACTCTCCATCCTGGCCAGCATCCCGAAACCCTTTACAGGATTCCCAGCTCGAAAGCAACTCGTAGCCCAAGAGCATGTTTCTCGCCACCTCTGACCTCCTCTGCTCTAGTCTAGAATGTGCAGTCCCAAATTTGCAATTGGGGTCGCTCTGGTTTACAGACACCGTCCCAAATGACAGGGAGAAGTGAACATGCCTAAAAACGAGAATGGAAGGTGACAATCGGTCTGGAAGCTTGAATGAGCTGATCTTACTGTAGGAAATCGAGAGTATCAGAGCTCGCCTTGCCCTCTCTAAGTGTCGGACAAACTCGCCGGTCAACTGTTCGTCAAAGGGCTCGTCGTGATAACGATACCTGGGTGTTGCGGCATGGCCACAAAGATTGAAATTGGCTGGCTCCCATGGCTTCCGAACTTGGGTACGGGCGACAGGTTCGCTGCCAAAGCCAACTCTCTATCCATGAGTTGGATGACCTGGCTGCAGCTGTCGCAGCATATTGACACAGATCTGCCCTCTCAAGGTCAGTCAGCTATGGGTGCAAGAAAGTGGAATCCTCAAGGGCTGCAGCATGTGCCGGCAACACCTGCGCCGCTCACATTGTGGGCAGCATAACCTTTTCACCCTGAAACCTGGAAGTTCTGCATAAGTTCTGTCATGCTCTGCCCCTTTGAATAACATGCCTCGTGGATGTTGCGGGAATGCCTTGCTTTCTCCATCGGCACCACAAGTGCGTGCGAAGCATGTGGAACTTGTGGAACCCGCACTGCTGCAGGCTTACTCCAGTTAAAAAATTGGAGCTAGTCTCGCGCAGATACTCGAGTCAGGCGCTGTCATTTGACATGTGCAACCTCTCTAGCAAACTTTGTCTACTTCCCCATGGAAACCAGAAGATACATTAAATGGAACGTATCTTTTTCTGCTTCATTTAGTAGAGTTCCCTTCCCATTCTCTTTGGGCCAGACCCCAGCCGTCTCAAGACGGCAGAGCTCGGCTGAACTGGGCTTCCAGCATTGTCTATAGATGCAAGGTCTGGTCAATATGGCTCCAAGCAAGCCAGCATCGTGGAACTGGGACGGACTGTGAGGAACTGCTCACAAATAACATCACGCAGGCTCGTGAAAGGCCCACGCCTCTCAAGCATCAGAGCCCTTGCATCTCTCCGAAAACATTCCACTGTGAAGTGTTTCTGCCGCGCTTCAGATGACCGTCAGCATCTCAACCTCCAGCCACTAGCCCCTTCGATGCAGAAGCTGATGGATCGACGCCATACAGCGGCCCCTTCAGAAGGACAGGATCGCCCGAAGCACGAGCCTCACGTAGACCACAAGGGAGTTTGCACCGCTTTGGGCAGAGCAGACCCCTAAAAGATATAAGCGACAGCAACTGGCAACGAGGTCACCGGGCATCCCAAAAGCCAAGATGGATCAGCTACTTTCAAAGCAGTAGTAACTGTCGTGTGGACAACATTCAGGGTGCGGGTATTTCCCTCTCTGAACCCCATCGCCTGCTTCAGCTCCGACGCCGCGGCGAGAATGAACTCAGCGATCATGGTGTTCCCCCAGCAATGGAAGCCCCAGAAATCGAACCTGAGCTGTTGGAGGCTGTCTACTAACTGCTGAGGCGACTGCATGCGTACACTTCAAGTTGCCTAGGCTCAGAATCTCAAATACCTGCGGCGGTGGCAGATATTGGAAAAGGTACTGCAGAAAACCTGCGGGAAGAGCTCCCTGTTGTTCAGCGCCGAAATGAAGTGTCACACAAGACACGCCAGCTCCTGTCCTATGTGCCGCCAGAGTGCTTGCACCCGTGTGCACCCCGATACCTCGTTTTGTGCCCACATGCACTGTAAGATATCGTACATGCTGACAGTACTGATTGGCTCCTCATGTCTGCTTCACAGTTCGCATTTTCGGCCAAGGATATCATGCAACAACAAAAAAAACTTGCACGATTGGCAAAGGAGGGAGGCAGGTTCAACGCTTATCAGCATGGGATTCGAAAATCTGTCCACACAAAATCATCAAGACCACTGCCAGAGTCTGATCTGCTCAAATTAACGTATTAAGCCGAAGTGGCAGCTCTGCAAGCGCGAGACAAGGGTTGTTCTGCATCTCTGCAGTGTGGTCCTTGGCACAGCCAATTTGCAATTTGAGAACAGCCTCGTACTCTCGAGCGGCAGCGAATGCTTCTCAACTTCCAGGTACGCATACAGACTACCTTATGAGCCAGCTAGGTTCAGCATACTTTTCCAACATTCGAATTCGGGCAAAAGGCTTCCAACGCAAACTTGTCAACCAAAGTTGGTCAGCATAAGAATGCGCCGAGCGTCTTCCACGTTCTCCCAAACGCTGATGGGATCATCCCGCCTTGAGCTTCAAAACTCAGGATTATTCGGGCTCAGAGCCTACAGTTGCCGAAACGGCGGCCACAGGGCTGACTGGCGATGGCCACATGTAGCAAAAAGTGGCCATAACAAACCTAACAAAGACAATTCACAGAGCCTGATCATATCAGAGAAGCCAAGAGTTCCCATTCGCACATTTGTGTTCAGTGCCTTTCTTGAAGACTCAATGGGAAATGCACTGCAGCGTTGCACACAATCCTGCGGCTTAGTTTGAGTTCGAGGGGCGAGTTGACAAGCAGGCAGGGTACCTTCACTTCCTGGGATGCCATCCAAACATCTCGTTCACATACAAGCACGTTGCATTCAGCAATCATATGCTGCAGAAATGCTGGGCAAAGTCGAGCACAGTCTAGCATCTAAACGGCCTCTGGTGTCAGGTGCAAGCTCGTCTGCCAGGGTGTTCGGTTCCTGGCCCTTGCAGCCGAGGTGCTCCGATCGCGGGTTGCTGCTTTTCCTTCCAGCGCTTGCTGCAGCCGAAGCCTGAGTGGGGCCAGAACGGCAAGGGTGAGGATGAGAAACCGCAGTGAGCTTCAATGAAGGTCCTGTTGTGGCCTCCAGTGGCTTGCAGCTAAAGCCTGAACACTTCGCGCCTGAAAGTTTCATCACCTCGTCGTACACTTCGACAAAACTCCGAGCTGGGTTCAGCGCCACCTGCGCTCGAGGCAGCTGCAGTGAAGCGGCTATCTTCCAGCGGATGCTAGAATGCTACAGTCTGCAAATCAAAGGAATCCTGCGCACTGACGCATCTGGCAGCTTTGCTGCACCCATGCTTGGAAGTCTTCGAAGTGATTCATCGTCGGAATCACGAAAGTGTGCAGGGCCTTGAAAAAACCTACATCCATGGAGGTGTCAGGTTGAAGGTTCGTAGCACTTCGTAGCCTTCACCACATCCGCAAAAGAGCGGGACTTCTGCGTCCACGTCTCGCGGTGTCGGATGGCGTACTGATAGCCTGCAATCTCTTGGGAAAGAACTGCGCAGGCTGCTGGCCCCGCGGCCTTAGGCCCTGGGAGCTTTTCCTGAGCCCCGGGCGAAACGCCAGGTCCAAGCCCTGAGCAAGCCGTGCACTGGATGCTGCACATTGCTGCACCATGCTGCGCCATTCTCTGCCAACTCAGTAGTATTAGAATGGAGCATAATCGAGCAGAACCATGCAGAACCCATTGCAGAGCTGGCTTGCTCGCTCTGCTGCCACGCCAGAATGCTGATAAACTTGTACGGACTTGTAGCCAATCTTTCGGCACACTCGCACAGCTACAGAATTTGTCGTAACGAGAATATCAAGAGAGGCCGCATTAATTATGTATAGATATGTATAGTTCTGCCCGGCCGTCATGGTCGTGATGAGCATTTTCTTTAGGAAAAGCTTCGGAAAGCTGACTGCATGACATGGGTATAGCACAGACTGAGGCCTGGACCCAGACATACGGCCGCGGCACTCTTTCCACAGCCCGGAGAACGCAGTAGCCAGAATCATAGCATACCTCAAGCTAAATGACGGACAAGGCCCAGAAAATACCAGAAAATGAAGTGCAGCCTTCCTGTTCTCTTGATCACAGTCGCTTGCTATTTACTGCTTTTCAAGTGACCTCAAAAGATGACAGTTGCGCGCATTTGCCAACGCCTACATCTCTACCCGTCACCAGCGGAGACGCTGCGCAGAGGATGCGTGGGATTGTCTTGGACAAATCACCGTTCTCGGCATCCTTCGGACAGTCATGACAGAATCCGAGCATGCCAAAAGCATGACTATTTACACGACTTACGTCTTCTGAGTCGGGATTCCTCAGAGCGATCAGATGCCCTAAATGAAAGTCCGAAAGCCCATGTCTTCACCCTGGGTCCTTGGCCCAGGCGGACAAATGCGCCCGAACAGCCGCGTAGCGACCTGCGTAACCTGAAACATGAACATTTCGGGCTACTGCTCCACTACCTCCAAATCTATCGCATCAACGGCTCGAACAGAAGTAGCCATGAAAAGTGAGCATCGAAGAGATCAGCGAGTTGAATCTCAGGGTCTTGTCATTCTGATTCTGGTGGGGCTTTCTGCATGTCTGCGAAAGTCTTGCAGACTAGTCCCGGAGTTTGAGCTGTTGAACGTGTTGGCCTGCGGTCGTCTAGTCGTGCCCAAGCTGTTTTCTCTTGGCCCAGAAGCCAGCGCCGCAGGAGAAGCCGACGAGCGCCACCAGGCGCCCGGGGTAACGACGGCCCACCTCTAAGAGGACTTCATCAAGATCCTGTCAGAAGCGAACAGCTTTTTTGTTAGTCGACTTGTCCCAACTGAAGCAAACTTCTGATGAATGTTCTCTCCAAGCAATTTACACGTGATTCTGTCTTACCTGCGTCTAGATGCATCGCGAATGTTCGATTGCTGTACTCCATGAGATCTGTCCGCGCCTCATCAATTCCATACAAAGTCATTCGTGCAGTATCCACTTCCATCTTCACGTCCCCATAGCCACGACGGTTCATCACCCTTGGTCAAAAGAGGCTGTGAGCCGTGTTGCATCAAGTTATGAGGACTTGCAATGCGAGTGACGGTGGAAAAGCTTCAGATGACGCGAGAAAGTGGCCGCTTGAATGCAAGGTACCGTACAATAAGAGCATCTGAGCTTGACCAAGTGTGCTACCAAAGGGCACTGCCGTCAAACCACGATTGGCCAATTCCACTGCCATGTCCTCAACTGCTCAAATTCCGATTGCCAAATGCGACCTACAGTATCAAACCCACAGCTCCTTCATGGTAGCGCTGAAGCTGGCCTGGCCGGGAATGAAGAAAGCAGCCTTTAAGCTTCACAGCTCCCAGACTTCCATGCATGCAACTTAACTGTGATTTGCGAGCAACACTCATCGCGGCAACAAAGCGGAGAGAAGATCAGAGTTCAGCTTTCAAAATAGCTTGAGGTCACTGTTCCACTCCTAATTTTGTAACAAAATGCAAAGATACTTTCCACCAGAAAACAGTGTCACCCAAGACCAGACCTGGATGGCCCCATGCAGGAGGATGCAGATCGGGCCATCTGGGATCGCCTCTAAGCCAACGGCGCACCCTGAACATCCCTGAACCCTGTGTTGGAAACTCAAAGGGCCGATGGCTGTGAAGCCGTTTGACAGAAGATTCAGCGCCAGCACTGACTCCCTCCATGTTCAGATATTCAAAATCCCTCTTGCACTGCCGTCACTAAACTGAGCAGAGCCATGACATGCCATACCGACCTCAAAGATCTCCCGATCCCCAGAAAATTGGTAAGCCCAAAGCTCATACTCAAGAACTGCTTGCTGAAAGTCAATTCGCCGTCTCAATGTGGCTTTGCACTTTGAAGCCATCTTGCAGTTTGCCGGAAAGCTGCAGCAGGAGTCTTTAAAGAAAATTCACAGAGAGACCTGGCAACAGGTGCAACACGTTGCTGCTAGTCCAGGCACCCTGAAGCGGCATCGCTTCCGACTTTCCACCAAGCCAAGCGTGCTGCTGAGTGGCAGAGCCGAATCGAGGTTCCACCCAGTCCAAGGCTATCTGCGAGGTGTCCCGAAGCTCAAGCATCCTCTGAATTCAAATCGTCCGCAAAAGTAGTGAATAAGAAGAACATGAAGAGCAGCCAGGACAGCCGCTGACATTGCATCAGCAGCAGCAGCATCATTCTTGTCGTCTGTATCACAGTAAAGGAGAAAACTCATAGACCCTCAAAACCAAGAATGCCCTGGGCAATAAGATTGGTACAAGTAGCTGGTTAGCACCGGAGCTATTCAGGATCAATTCCAAGCTTGGGAGCAGCAGCACCCTGAAAAGGAAACAATTCTGTGGTGGCTCTGCCGCTGGTAGACAGCGAACTGCAAGAAGCTGCGCATCTCCTGCGATGAATGTCTGACAACCCAGCGACAAACAGTACAAGTGAGATCTACCAGCTGCAGAAAGACAATACCAGAACAGTGGTAGAACAGGCCACGCGAGTGCCGAATGTACAAATGAACTTGAAGGAACCTACTGGCTTATGGTCTCGCATCGTTTTGTCGAAACTTGGTCAGCGCATGTCAGCGCAAAGACTCTAGAAGCAATTGCAGAGCTCCATGCGACCAGGTCCAGTCACAAGCCATCTACACTGCTGACAAAAACTGGGGTTGGCAGATCATGAGACGTAGCGATGGCCCACGGGTTGCCTGATTGCCCAGCTATGAGTACGTTTCGGTAGGATGAGAAACTGGGAGTAAACGAGGCACAACAGCCTGAACTGTACCGGAACATCCGCAGCGGCATTCACTGCGACCCTGCGCACTTGCACCATGAAATCAAAACGTCCAGAAGGCGATCAGAGATAAACCGGACAAGAACTTCTGGATCTATGGCAGTGCCCTCAGCAGTTGCTCACGCTCCGTTGTCTCAGGTAGTATATTCAAACGTATGGAAAACGGGATGTAGGCTGAGTTTCAGAGCACAGCTCGCCAGGGATCCTATGATAAGGCTGCGCTGTACTCATTGCATCCTGGGCACGGGCTCCTAAAATTATTAACCGAAATACAATGCCTAGTACGGACCCAATACCAAGACGAATTGAATCATTGCAGACTGAGTTTGTCTGCATCCCGCACGTCCTTCAGACCAAGGAGCATGAATTGCTGCATGGCAGTGTGCGCATAAAAAGTCGGCCAGTACCTGGGATGCGTACTGCTTCTGTTAAGCGGTCGTGCGAAGCGCTTTTGAAGAAAGTCGTAATCGCTCGAATCGAAATCATCCGGTGAGAAGCTAATAGAAGCTATGTCCTGCGTGAAGCTGCAGAGGCTTGCTGCACAAGCTCTTTGCAGTCACGGCACACAGCTTGCAAAGCTGGGCACTGCGCTATGATGCGCTGCATGAGCTGAGCAGGGCTGTCCAATGAAACAAACTGAGCAGCCAGCTAACAAAAACCCTGCACTACGTTTTAAGCGATTCTCAATAAATTTGTTGTTGGATCTGCGACGCAGGTGTAAAAGGCTGCCTGGACTTGTACGACGGTTGTCTTACTCAGACATAGTCAGACTCGTGAAGACAGCAGATGTGAGCACCCGCTGCCTGCCGTGATGGGTCGGAGCTATCGGTCCTGGAGAAGTGAACTCGCACTCGTCGAACACCTTGGACCATCACCGTGTCGGGAAGAGGCCCCTCTCCAGTGTGTTCAACGCGATTGTCCCCTCCTGGCCCAGCTAAATCTAGAGCCTACTGGCATGCCGAAGTTCGCCAACCTTAGCATCAGACTGCAGAATGCATGCTGCCTAGGACTTGTATAACAAACCGTTGCGGGAAGCCGGGTGTTCCCACTGTGAAACGTGGGTTCTACTACTTCCATGAGGCACCCAGAGGAAATGCTGCGTCCGTGGGTTTGCTTCTTGTACGCAACAGCCACTTGCTGTCCAAGGATCTGTGCAGGTAGTGAAGCGCCCAGGCGACAAACAGGACCTGGTGTTATCTTGCTACTGCTGTGCCCACTGAGGACATTAGGCTGCTAGCTGAAGCTGTGAGGCCCTGAAGGGGTCCTCACATGGCCTGCTTCAGGATGCATAGATCAACCCTTGCTTTCACACAGCAAAGCATCCTCTTTGAACTCTTTACCACACCCTTCGTCATGCTGAGGCTGATACGTACCACACGCGTCGGGCGAGCTGCGGCAGTCTTTGCCGGAGCCACCGTGCAACATGGACGAGCCTAGGCTGAGGCGCAGTCGACTCCTCCATAAAGGATGCCAGAAGCACACAGGTACAGCTTCTGGACATGACCCCTGAGCCCGCAAATGCTTGTAGCCTTCATCATGTCTCGAACAGCATACCAAGGCCAAGCTGCAGAGGCCGCCGAACACTTAAGGCTGCAGTTGACGTGGTCATCATGCACCACGGATAAGGAAAAATCAATTGGCCTGTTGGCCCACGATACTTGTTGCTTAGTTTGCCTCTGCTGCGGGGTCGCCACGAACGGTCTCTACAGCTCATGTCTGTTAGACGCTGCTTGGTTCCGTCTCCACGGAGACACTCAACTAAGTGTGGCTCAGGTCAAGATTCGCTAGTCCTGTTTGGTGAAGCCCCGAAGCATGCTGCGGACAAGACTTGGCTATGTCTTGGTGTTTTTGCCGCATCCATCACTGGGCCTCTGGAGCCAAAAGAAACATTGCACGCAGCTGATAAGGGACCCTACTCTGGCTCAAAGTCATGGAAACATCGTTGCCCTAAATGCAAACATGCACACGCTACGACTGCGAAAGCGCAAAGCACTGGCAACCAACGGTAGGCGAGACACACTGGAGATTCAACCCTTCACGCTCACAGAACCTCCACTACGAAGGCCGGTCGGCCCCGAATGGAGCTAGAAAGGTGAAGCCACAGGGACTTTAGGTACTGGGCCTGCTTAAGCGCTTTAATGAAACCATGTTTCTGCTAAGTAGAACCACAAACAGCATCGCCTCGGCCGGTTCCAACTCCCGGTCCTGCAGCCCACGACAGAGCTCTCCAGTCCGTCCCAGAGCTTCGGGGTTCAGAAAAAGCCAGAAAGCAGTAAGGACAAACAGGTGCAGAGATGGTATGGTCCGATCGGTTTCTGGCGAGGTTTTGGTCAACAGCAATGGTTCTAAAAGACTACCAGATGCCTAAGGTGAGGGGGTGTTATTGGACTTACTGTCGCCAGCCTGGCCTGAGTTTCAGAATTTTCTGTCACCTATGGAGGGATAGCTACAACCAGGAAGCCTGCTTTTAAGGTATTTGGCCTTCTGAACTCGGTCCTCTACGGGATGCCAGGGGAGTTCCAGGCCAACACGGCGTGACGCGTCATACCTCGGCATGTCTTCTGCTGTTGTAGTTTTATGTAGAGGGCGAGGACTAGTAAATTGAGGAACTCTTTGGAAAGAGGTTGTCTCCCTGCGGTGCAGCCTCCACGCTGCGCTTTACGCTGCCTCATTCTGTCGAGGACGCAGTTCTCAAGCCCGGTCCAAACTCTCAAAGCCAGGCCGCTAAGTCATGTCCATCTGATGGCGACAGCCAGGCGTAATAAGCTCGCAGCTCATCCAACTCACGGGCACAGCGGAGTACATCTTGAGCCACTTCCTGTCCGAACAAAGAAGCTCATGAAGGGCAGAGGTCAGCTGAGGGTGAAGTTCCGGAGCCCAAGGCCCTGCCTCTCCAAAGCGGCCCCGTACCTGACAGTAATCTGTCACACTGTGGCAAGCTTTTGTTGCAAGTTGACCTGAAGCCCTCCAAAACTGAACACGAGTCTAAGCTCAAAAACACCACAAAACGAAAAACGCATACCTCCTTGTGCGCAAGAGCCTAGCAGCAAATCTAGCTTGAGGAGAACCCTTTCAAGCCAGTGCCTCCTCCAAAGAGAGGCGCAGCAAACCACCTCGGGCCGCCCACCTGAGACGACAAAGGTCCCTTCGAATTTGCTGAGCTGGCGGCTGATGTGAACCAGCGGCTCGATTGCACCGCCCGGTCCAAAAAAAAGGCCCTGATGCCGCCAATGCTAGATGAGCACGCTCCTTTGTTTGCTTCATTTCCCATCAAAGCTCTGTTCAGGTTTCGAAGCATTCGAATCTGTCCTGGCGTTCGCTGTACTTTACACATGAACAGCATGGAAGTGGTATACATTGGAAAGCGCTTCTTAGAGAGAACAAAAAATGTACTGGATTCACCCGGCAGACCGAGCCTGTTCGTCAGCCGTTCCACACCGCCCTATTCTCTTGCAGCTATGTCCTTACAGCCTCTCAAGGACGCAAGCACTGCCTGAGGCTGCGGCTTCACCCGCCCCGATTTCGGGCTGTACCTGGCGGGCCAGTGTGTTTGCTGGTCAGGGAAGACGTCAGGCCTCTTGAAGAACAGGATTGCGATCCAGACCATTACTTGGACCGATAAAGAAGAAGCAAGTCTGCATGCAGGGGCTCACGGGCGAAAGCCGGGATCTCCAAGCAAGCTGACCTTAGTTTGTATCTAGGAATTGGATTCCAAGTTTCTCATGCTCACCTGGCCGTCGCAAGGTGCAGGAAAGTCAGAATTCGTTTTGTGGGGAATGTTTACCTTTGCACGCCACATCCTAGGGTCAGGCGTCCTGCAATATGCCCTCCGCATCCGGGAGGCAACCGCCCTGCGCGCTGGTGGAGTGCATAGAGGTTCAGATATTGCTTTGGACATCTTATGCTGGCTGGTACTGGAATGCACCAGACGTCTCGGAAGACGAAAAGTGCAAATTGTTTTCACGACTCCATGCTGGTCCCATCTCTGAAGTCAAAACGCAGCATCCACACATCAATTGAAGTGCTTAACGCCAGAGCTGTGTTGCCGTACAGGCGGCTACCAAAAGGAGGGCCTGCTAACCAGGACCAGAAGCAAATGAGAAACATCTAGTTTATCGGCATTGAAATCCGTAGCGCAGGACTCCGACCTGTCGGGTAGCATCCACCATCTTGTCCGATGAAAGTTATTGATTGAAACACCCCGCCCACCTATCAACGTCAGGCTCCCCAAAAGCTCACCCCCAGCCCTTTTAGGATGCCGCCTGCAGAAGCCCAGCATCGCGGGCGGCGAGACCCTGCTGGGCACAAGCTGTGCTTCAGGACAGCTTCAGGGTTGGGCCTTGGAATCCGCATAGCTCGGAGAGCAAGTTTCTGCTGTGCGCAAATTTGCCGCACGTCTAGCCTGGTTAACCTGCAAGACATGCAACCTTAAAGTCTGAAATGGACCTACCTACCTACCTCGAAGCCGCTTGAGAAATTCTGAGGCTGTGAGAAGTTCCAAATCACAGTATAATAGCATGAAGTAGCGACTCAAGGTTCCTCAGTCCAACCTGTCCAGGTTTGCTACGCCTGCGCAGCAACCAGTCGCTCGTCCAATCTCCCCGCCACCTGGCTTCGGGGTGATTCACATAAACAGCAGGGCGAGGGAGAAATGGTTGCCATTCAACGCCCACTTGAGCTCTTGCAAACAGCAAACGTGTTCAAGCGCGGCAGTGCAGGTGGAACAGCAAGAAGGCTGATGACTTGATGACTGAGGCCAAAGAAAATGCGAGTTGACAAAGGAGGAGACTTTGAGAGCTCTCGAGCCAGGCCAGCGTTGCTGTGTTAACTTTAGCTGAAGAGAGTTGAGAGAGAAGGAGAGAGGAACGAGAGAGAGAGAGAGAGAGAGAGTTGGTTGGTTAGTGAGATGGATTTTGCTTTATCTACGTGGATCGAACAGGTTCCACCTTTGTGGGGATGCACGCGCCGCGCCACTTGGCCTGACCAGAACATCGCCGCATTTTCCTAATGAAAACACTCCGCACTTAAACAGCCAACAGCTCAAGGATGATGCCCATGACGCTCTGCAGCAGCCAGCATAGCAAGTCCTCAACCATTCTTCCCACACTTCCACGTCTCACGGAAACTATGTCTCGTGGCGTCTTGTGCACCACGCCCTATTTGCCCTGCGGTCCACGCTCCTGCAATGGCTGGCAAGTAGTGCCGCGCGCGTGTCATCAACTACAAAGTCGAAACGCAAGCATCCACGAGAGGGGCCAGAACTACAGTATCTTGTTTTCCGCAGAAAGTGCCTCAGTAGCAAGATCTTCATCAAATGAGGCACGGTTCTTTAGGCATATCACCACGTCAACGTTTAACAACCCGAGGAGAAGAAATGATGCCAGCCATGTTATTGAATCTACCTTAGCTGGTGTCGGGCGCATACAAGCTTCAAGAAGGTTGGAAACCAAAATATGGTCAAACTGCAATTTCCTTGGACGTTGTCATTTTTGAAGAGCTAGCAGTCGGTTGCCGCCCACAAAACTGACAAGTTGTCATGAGATCTGGACTGCTTTTAGGGGAAAACCTTGAAAGATGATTAGATGAAAAAAGCAAACCGTCCCGTCGACGCACTCTCTAATATTCTAAGTATAGCTCCAACAGCAACACAATTCAATGCCACAGCCGGAAGGCTGGGCATTGAGCTCATGGAGGCTCTACGTCTAAGGGTTTAAAGCCCAATCAAAAATGGGAGACCCCTGAGAACGAAGAAGTCAGCGTTGGGATCTCCATCTCAACCCATGCCTGTGAAGTCTGGCGCAAGGACAGGTCATCCTAGGTGGATGGCGTCGTCGAAGCTCATATGGGGGACCCAGAGTCGAACAAAAACGCCGGAAATTGAACAACCCTCAAATTTCGCTTCAAAACTCCAACCTCCCAAGCCTCTTGATATCGCCTATCTACAACCCTACCGAACTTGGGCGCGAGTCCTGTATCAGCTCAGCTCAGCGTCGAGGTTCTACTGGAGACCCCCACAGAATGCACCTGACGGAAAGCTAGCAGTACTAGCATCGAGGGCTCAGGCGCTAAGGAGCAAAAACATTCGGAGTTGGCCTCCAACCGACCCTCGCAGACATGTTGACATGGCTCAAGACTGCACTGCATCAACCGAGGAAATGCGAAGGCCTCGCTGCTGTCAGCGTCACCTTGGCGCCTGTCGCCTCAAGAACGCCTGGAAGGCATTGCCGAGTAGCTTTTGCGCACATACCGCTTTGCATGTCACATGTTGACATGTTCTGCAGTTGCCGATCGCAGCCTGTGGCTTGATCTCGCTTAAAGACCACCACGTTATCGCTGTCCTGACACGTCCAGAACGTCCAGGCATTTGAATCTTCCATGATGTAAAGATTCTTTGGCAGACGATATTCATACATAGGTGCCGCTCTAGAACGCCTTTCAAGTAGCCAACATGGCCGGTGCTGCTGCCAGCAAGCAAGGATCAGGTTGCGCTTACAGGTTCGCGAGACGAGCACCGAAACTTTCCAAGTCTCGGCTCCTGGTTCGCTACCAAGACCCAGTCCCCTGAGGGGTGAATGCTGAAATTTCTGGGGTGAGCACCTGGCACACAGCTGTTCCAGGATTCTCTGACAACGTGCATCAAGATTGCACAGACCTGTTTTAGGCGTCCCGTTACCATGGCTACACTCATGAATCTTCTCCGAAGCAAAAGCATTGCCTGGACAAGCTGAAGCAAACTGCCCATAGCCGCGCTGCCTTGGGTGTATGTGAAGCCTACCAGCTCCAGTTGGTCACTTCCACTGACACGGAAGCAGACCAGGCTGTCCTTTGATTGATACTTTCAGAAGTGGCTTGGATAAGGTTGTTCGGTTGCCGTCTTTCACATATGTCTTACTTTGTATTTTGATTTGCGGGACGGCAAATGCCAGGTAGTAAAAGGTTGCTGTGGAAAGTGTGGCGAGGTAGGAACGCCGAGTGAGAGTGGACAAACGCAATTGTCAGTACCGGCCAAGCGTCGTGTCCACGGTTTGAGCCATACCTTATGTGGGCACAAGGTGGCTTGATTTTGAAGCCGTACCTTCATCAAGTAGACGAGTAGCACAAACCGCCCATCTGGCGAGACATGGATGTCCTCAGCATTGATTCTACATGCAAGCGCTCACCATTCTCAGAATTGTGGACCTCTGATGTACAGTCTGAAAACAGCAGCAAGCGTCGTCGCGTGGTTAGCAAACCAGCCAATTGCAGCTGCGCTGCTGCAGTTGCATTGGTCTGCTGTGGACGGTTTGGCCCTGCAAGAGTGACAGGTCCAATGATCTGACCATCTATACGACTGCATCAGCTGGAGCATGTTCGCTGTGCAATCAATCGGGTTTCTGCTCCAAAAATATTTAGGCCATGCAGAGATCCCCAACATAACAGGTAGCAGATGCCAGATGAGCTTGTTTCACGGCAAGTTCAGTAGCAGGAGCGCCAGGGAAAGCTGTGCTGTAAGCGCATACACCTTAACAGGCTGCACGAAGATACCAGGATGTTGTATTTTGGACTGTCAGCAAAAACCAAAAGAAAAGCAGTCAGAGGACCCTGCGGGGCTCTGAGCCTTGTAGGCCTGTAAGGCATTCTATCTTTCGAAGCAGCGGCCAGCATAATTCGCCAACGATGTCTGGGCCTGATGCCGGTTCTCCCGCCGCGTTCTTCGCATTGGCATGATCCCGGTTGTTGTAGCCTGGCACATGCTCGGGACATACCACTATGCTGGCATTTGGGTCTGGAGGGAAATTACGGACTCCATATTTGCCCATACTCTCCTTATCCCATTGTTTAGGCAAGGAATGTGAGGGTGGAGGATCAAAAAAAAAAAGGATCAAAAAAAACAAAATCTAAGGATCAAGAAAAACAAATAAGGATCAAAAAAACAAAATCGTTGATTTCATAATAAAACTGGTAGAACGGAGACAAGTC